TATTCAACTACAGCCTTTGATATGTGCCCACAATTAGAAAAGTGGTCTAAGTCATATATTTCTTGAAAAATATTGCATTGAATTAATTTAGTTTAAAAAATGTGATGTGAAATAACTGGTAAGTTCATTTTTGTTTTTAATTTTGACTTGGACCACTTTCGTAATTACGGGCTCATTTATAACCAACCCTAGTTTAATACGATTAATTTCCAAAAGAGAGACGAATAGAATACAGGAAAATTTACACGATCAAACCAAATTATATACAAATTATAGATTTGGTGTTCCAACTAAATATTCATTATAAACGTATATATGTGAAAAGTTAAAGTTTGTTCGTGTAAATTAGCATTCTTAATTCGAGTGGAAATGAAGGTGATCGACTCTACAACGATTTCCTCTAAACAAGCTAGCAAGCCAGAGGCTAACCTATCGCAACTGCGTAGCGTGTACTATTTTTTAACCGTTCGGTGCCCCTCGGTCCCGACATTTCGAGAATCACGCGACTCTCGTTTCGAATGGTCGTTTCGTTACACAACGCGTCGGTGGTAGACGAGAGCCCGTCGGTCTTCGGTTGCCAGCATCTAATCTACCGCGAATAGATCCGCCAGACGTAGACGTAGCGGCTGCAGACGAAACGATGTCCGACGAATCGGTGGCAAACGTCGCGAATAAGAAGCCAGCGTGCGCCAAGAACTGTGGGACACACCTGTGCGCGGCGACCCGACGCTCCCATCACGGACGCAAATAAACGGCGTCGCGCCGTCTGCCGTCGGGCCGGCACTTAGCGCAATCGGATGGCCAAAGGCGAAACCGTGGATCCGCCGTTTCCACCGCCGCGCTCACCTCGATCGGGTATTGGATCTAGGAAACGACTCGCTCCGTCACACGATAATTACTCCAATTCACTAAACGTCTCGGATTACGTAATAACCCAGTTACAGTCACGGCGGAATTGTTTTGCACGAACGGTCACGCATTCCCGGTCGGCCCTAACTCGCATATCCGACCGCATGACTCGGAATTAGTCATTCGGGTGTTTGCGGTAAACGAGCGGCTCCAGTTTCTTCCAACTGAGATACATTCGAACATGAATGGTGAAATTGGGATTTAATTGAAATTTTAAGAAGATGTAGAAAGAAAAAAATAAATGAACGTACTTCGCGTTTCTTGGTTCTTCAGAGGCACGTTAGTATGTTTGGTTCTGAGTCTGATTGATAAGTAAGGCTCGTTGAACAATTTTAAATTACTGTTACAGTATTGTCTCGAAATCAGCAATTCGCTGTCTCCACGTTTTTGTTTGAAGTCACAGAGGTTCGAAATGAATTTGATTTTACTAGTGTTAATACGAGAAAGCATGTTGTTGTCCTTCGATTTTTCAATGAAAAACTTTTCCAAGTCGAAGACATTTTGATTACTTTTCGGTCCCCCTAATACATATAAGCATATCATGTATAGCATATAAGAACTGTATACAAAAATGTGAAAACGGTCTTCAACGAAGACTTCTGCTATGGAATAGACGAGTAATGTTTTGAAGAACGCGGAATGGATTCGATAACAATTTTGGGAAGATGATCTAATCGGATGGAGGTCCATTGTGACGTCAACGGCCGTCGTATCGCAAAGTATGGAAGTATACAGCTTGAGATACAAATGAAAGGAACGATACAACAGCAGACTCTTTGCCTCAACTAGGCTTTACTTACTAACAATGTTTAAAAATTAATTTCAGCCTAGATTTCAATTATTTCAATTTTTGAAACCCAGGACGATATACAATATTGCAAAAGCTTTGCTCATCGTGTTATGTATGTAAAATGTTTCATTTCAATTCATTACGTTGATAAAATATAAATAAAGTTTATTGGAGTTTATTTAGATTGATTTAATTTCACATTCGATTACGAAATAATTGCCAGTGACATGAAGTCGCTTCTGTGTAAAATTGCCGGTCAACAATGTGTTAATATATACCAGGGCTTCTTAAACTATGGATCGCAACCCTAAATGGGGTCTTGGGTTCTCTTTTATTTATATTATTGCAAAAAATTTAGTTCTGATGAAAAATAGGGTATACAATTTTTGTAGCTATAATAAATACAATTTTACAACATTTTGTGCAAGTTTGAATTTTATATTTCTGTATGTTTTTAAACAAATTTCAAAACTATATATATATATTTGTGTGTGTGTGTATGAGAGAGAGAGAAAGAAATATTGTTTCCTAATCAATAAATCATCAAAAAATAAGTACATATCTTTATTCTGTACTTTTTGCGTCGCGAAAAGAATGACAATCATAAAATGGGTGGTGAATGAAAAAAGTTTAAGAAGTTCTGATATATACTAATGCAGAAATCTCCTCCTAACAATAAAACGAAGAGTGTTTCTAAATAGACCGGTAGTAGAAGCGCTAGCTGTCCCTCGCACGCAGCAATTTTCGAGCGGGTTAGCTCGATGACCAGCGAAACCATTCACTTGCGTCAGCCGTTGCTTAAATTGTGCGACGGACACGAATTCATTCTCTCGCATAATCTTTGTTTAGCGTGCGGTACGACGCGCGTCGATCTCCTTAACTTCGCGTTATCCGCGCGCCTCTTTATCGGCAATTTATCAACCAAAGTGGCGCGCTTTTTCAAGAACATGGCACACGCATTGCTTCGACGTTTAATTAATGACCGGCGTGTCGAAATTAATCACTTGTTATCTAACAAGATAACACCGCTTCTTGTGCGTAGTTCCGTCGACTTCTACCCCCGTTTGGTTCTTTCTTTTTTCTTCTGAGAGTCGCGCGCGTCCGGTTACTGTTGCGAGCCGACAGATCACCGGAAAACTTTCCAAATTGTCTATCGAAATTTTCTATCGTATGCTCCTTACATGGAGAACTAATGTTTAAATCTGATAAAGGTTTTCCGAAAGGAACTTCAGGATTTTGTTTTGAAAACACAGATAAGTTGTAGGGGATACTTGAACGTTTCAGACCTGAATTATTATCTTAATTTAATTTTTAAGTTCTCAAATATAAACTTAATAGTTTTAGTATATAAATATATTTTGTTAATTTTGTGTCCTCAATTGTGGACGCCAAGTCTGAAAGGGTTAACTCTTCGAGGCACACGATTATAAAAGAAAAAGAAAATTCAAACTGCACAGAAAAATAGTGTCAACAACTTGTTAAAGCATTTCGCCTTGTATGCCACATGAATGAAAATTAAATAAAATAGTAAAGCTAAGCAAAAGGTGGGATAGTTTTTCATCCCCTTAACTTTAAAGAGTTAAATAATGTCATCTTTCATTTTTAGTTGTCACGTCATCTAAGAAAAAAAGACATATTCCAAACCATTTGTGTTTTCATAAAACATCTCAAAAAATCCTGAATCCCCTTTTGAAAACCCCCGCTCAATTCCTGTATCCCTTATTCCTGACGCTTGAAATTCAGCGGTAAGTCGGAGATTCAGTGAAACTTTGTTCGAATAAGCAAAGCCCTGTGCTTTGAATGATGTGCAGCAAATCATGAAGAGATCGCATCATCGACGGTAATTTCTACTGGCGCTGAACCGTTTCCTCCCTTGACCTAACCCAGATCGCTCGACGGAATGTTGAAGAGTTCTCCCTAATCATCCACGGATCATGGTGGGTCTTTTTCGACGAATTCTCTGATCTTCGTGGATGATGTTGACGTCATTAGGGACCCTCGATAACCAGCAGCCGTTAAATTCCCGGTACTCGACTCTGGTACGCAATCACTGTCACGTAATCAGTTTTTGTGCACGCCGTCCATTGACGATGCGCGTGCACAGGCATTTCCCTCCGATTGAATTTTACATGTGATTGTTGTTCACTATCCCACGTGACTTTGAACGTTGAAATAATTGTTGACCTCGATTCCAATAATTTGGACCTTTTGGATTCCGTGTGAGGGTACGTCTTCAACGGTACGTTATTGGAAAGTATCACGGTTCAATTGTAGGATTACTGTATCATAATCAAATTGTGTGCAAGAGTGGATTTCGAGCTCTTAGTTATAAAAATACATAGATGAGTAGGATATAGTGACGCAGAGGAAATAGATTTGCAAAGGAAAGAGTAAAATCGAAGATTCCACGAAGCTAGTGAGCCATTGCCATTGGAAAATTGTGTACAAGGGTGGATTTCGACCTCTTAATTATAAAAATAAATAAATGAGGATATAGTGACGCACAGGAAATAGATTTGCAAAGGAAAGAGTTAAATCGAAGGTTCAACGAAGCTGGTGGGTGGCCTATTGCCATCGGAAAATCCAGATGACTTGAAGCCGCAATTGCACGGGGGCGAAGTGAGGTACAAGAAAAAACTGGACCGCTCGAGACCACACAGGTTTAGTGGGTCGTACGCACGGCGATCGCACGTAACTCCTTTTGTACAATTATATCTCATTTAAGCCATAAAAATTCTAAACGGAATCACACGGCCTCGTTACGTAACTACTCGTATGAACTCGCCTGATTTGCTTCTCGGAATACGCAACCTCTTATATTGGCAGTCTGCAAAACCGAAACGTCACGCGCGTACCGAAGGAGTTACTAATTGTTTCGATTGTGAAGCTTCCTACCAGCACACGACGAGGGAGGAAAAGCTGCGGAGCTGGGATTCCCCTAAAATATAAACAGAGAAAAAGGACGTTAGAGAGGCGGTAACGTTTGATTTACATTATACATTTAGTCGGTGGCTGGCGATCAGCCAAAGGAATATTACACTATTTATTTTCAATGGAAACGCTCGAGCTACGTGTTACTGGCCGCTTCTGCTGGAAATATATTGTTTAACATTTCGCTGATGGTGAATCAAGCCAATAATAACGCGATTTGGGAGAAAAAGCTAATGTTGACCAGCTCCCTATCTTCTTCCCTTTCGATCTAACAAGATTCATCCGAACAACCACTATAGAAAAGTAATGAACTATACCGATGATATAAATACATTATTGTACTATAATCGAAAATCAGAACCACTGATGGTCACAACGAGAGGTATGAGAACTTCCATGACTAAGTTTATTAATCAATTCTCAATGGGAGTTTGAAGATTTTTAATGGAACCTTGAAGAAGAAAATAGTCATAACATACGTACAATGACAAAAGATTATTATATGTTATAACTAAACTGCGGATTTTTATGCATTTATAGGAAATTCGAATCAAAGTGCACACAGTATACAATAATATAAAAAGATATTGAGAGTAAAGTTTGTATCATAATATTTGCAGGGTAAAATGAATTCTTATCTAAGTTCCATTCGTGTAGATACGTTTGCAAAGATTTTATTTTGCATAAAAATCCGCAGTCTACTTGTTTTGCTTCGAAAAATCGTATTTTTCTCTGTAAGGACATCGATGCTAGTATATTTTTCTATTTGTGTGCATTAATATAATTTTCAGTTAAAATATAGTACAGAAATTATAGAAGTACGATATCAACAGTAAAAATAGAAATTCATCGCGTCTTTTATTCACAGTTGCTGCAATCCTATGAATTTTCAAAGTCTGGACGCTTTATATTCGTCTAACGCGAGTCCCTTAGAATTGACGTTGTTCTGAAGCACGAGGATCTCTTTTTCAATTTCCGTCGCATTTCGTTGCTTTCAAAAGAATTTGAAGAGTTTTAATTTGAATTTAGAATGCCAATAGTGGATATTCTGCTCGATAATAATCCTTGATCCATACAAATAGAAAAATATCATCGGTGTCCTTTTAGATAAAAATACGATTGTTCAAAGCAACAACATAATAAGCTGACGTGACGTTACTCGAGCCCTCCTCGCATATCTGTGCACTATAGCAAGTTTCGCGGACCGGGCATTGCGGAATCCAAAGGACGAGCAGTTATCTATTCCAGCCGAATTAGCAGCCAGGTCGATAGCGTTACCAAGGTCGAGTAAATCCATTACCAATCAAATAAAAATCATTACCGTGCGGATTCGACGACCTTGCTCACGTCTCTATGGAGAAACTCAATCGACTCGATGACCGCTGACGATTCTTTTGAAAGTGATGATGTGCGACAGAGATTGAAAAGAGATCCTCGTGTTTCTAAGGGTTAGATAATCAAACTTAGATCTCGAACGCATAATTGGAGAATCGCGTTAGATGAATGTAAACTGTCCAGATTTAGAAAATTCATAGGATTGCAGCAACTGTGAATAAGAGACGCGATGAATTTCTATTTTTACTGTTGATATCGTACTTCTAGAATTTTTGCACAATACATGAAGAAAATGTTCAAGTAATGAAGTGAAATTACTCGTTACCTATTACGTTTAAGGCTAACGAAGGTCCATACTTTTTTATTCAGAATTCGATACTCTACCATACCTTTGAATAAAAAATATACTATTCTATTTAAAAAACCAAAGTTGTCCTTCAAATAATTCTGGAAGTTGCTCAACAAAGGAAACGAATTCAAATGAAATTCAGGAAGATTGATGAAGTTATGAAAATAAATACCACGATAAATATTTGATTATCTACTTTTCAATAGTCTAAAATAATATTCAATCCTGATAGAAATATTCAAAAATATTTGTCTGGGAGTAAACGTTTTAAGGATTGTCTGCGTACTAAAATCTAAACTCTATATTTATTTAAAATGCAAGTCCTATCCTCCTGTATCGGATTTCATTTGTCAGGCCTTACAGACTCGAAAATTTAAGACGAAAGACTTTTACATTACGTCATTACGGACCTAGATCGATCGTACGATCACTAATGCGTAGTTGCTCCTAACTGCGTCGGGAAATGTGTTAAAAATATAGACGATACAGTTAATATCAAAAGTAAGGGACCTCATCGTCTTCTACGTACATTTCTATGCATCGATGCAGCAAATGGACTCGTCAACAATATATGACTAGCAAATATGAAAGCGTCGTTGGATAAATGACCATAAAAAAGAAATTATCACGCGGACGATTTACTCTCGAAAGCAACCGCGTGGCGCCATTCTGGATAAGAAAAGAAACACGATTCGAGGAATCGTGACCGACGCGAAAACACGATTGCGACAAACGAATTTTCAATGAAGATCGCAACTGCGTCTCATTGATACCAGGAAGCCTCCGTCGCTGGGAGAGGAAGCGCGGGAAATGTTTTGCCCCGTTTTACGCGCCGCGAAATCGACGTTCGCGATCGGAGCGGGCAAGTCAATGAGGCTCGATAGATCATCCTTCTCCGACGCATGAGGCGATTCGGACGTCACGTTTAGAGCTGCGTGCCATTGGTCGAGGTGCTGACGGGCCCCCGTCAAGCCTCTGCACATTCTGACTCGCACGACACTCACGTGCGCTTATCTGTCGACGAACTAAAATGCCCGTGGGCGACCCTGCGCGCAACGAGTAAACACCGATCGCGATCGGCCCGCTACGATCGCTGCATAGATCGCGGAACTCGCGCTAAACTCGGTAACTTTAAATTCTACGACGCGCGAAAGCTGGGGATCAAAGTGGAGATCAAAGACGATTAGAAATGGAGAAATCTAAACGAAGTGGAACTTGATTTTGCAGGCATTGAGCGGGGCTCACGTTGCTTTGTTGAGTGATCTTTATGCAAAATGAAATGTTTGCGTGAATACGTCAATAATCCAACAGACGTAGCAGAACGAATATTTTGTACTATGAAACTGTCGCGAAAGTTATGTCGCGCAAGATTGTTTATCCGATAACAAGAGGAAAACGGACTAGACTACCGCACACGATTGCCAGTATTACCACTGCTAACGAAGTACATACGTTCGCGGTTTCAAAAAATTTGAAATAGGAAACGTAAATTACCATAACATTGGTCTCCGACCTTATCGGAATTGTCAGGAACGTTCTCTCACGCTTATCTCGTCGCGAGAGAATTAGAGAATTTTGAAATTCTCCGTTCGATATCAAGAATTTTGTTCCGTGTGGATAAATTATGTTCTCATAAATATTCCAGGTGTCAGACAATACGGCGTTCACCTTTACTCAAAAAGTTGATAAGTTGAAGAATTAACCGAGACTCGATTAAAATCGATTTTCGTACAGAAAACGTCATTTGTAACCATATTACGTAGAGAAATGCCTCGCTAGACTCCTTATACCCCCGTTTTCTGTTTGTACATGAACCAACAAATCTGAAAACGTTTACGGACACATGGAAATACAGCGACGTTAGAAATTTTGAAAAAGGAACGGTTTATTCGCTAGAAAAAAGATTCCTAGAGACGCCTGTTCCTTCAGGCCCGTTACCGTGATGTTCCCCCCTAATCGAAGTCCTACCATATTTCCAATACTGTTGTTCTTATTATTGCAACTTCTGATCTCCCTTCCCAACATCGTGGTTTCCTTCGCGCTCTCTCTCTCGGTCTCTCTCGTTCCTTCTTGCGGAGACTCCCTCCGACGTCCCCGCCCCCGTCCCGGCAACGGCTAGCTCGCCTATATAAACTGCCGGCATCTCGAAAGTCTCCTCATTCTATACGAGGCGTCAGTCTATGTATAAAGTCGGAAGAAGGAACGTGGAATCCGCGAAACCCACTTAGAACCTCGTATATTGCTCAAACGGCGATAGGAGCACGCGTCCACTCGCTCGAATTCCACACGCAGGCCTAACCGTGCGGTACTTCCACTGACCAGCTCGCGAGTCCTCGTGAGAGTCATCCTTGAACACGCGTTCCTGGTCGAGCCACTGCGCGGGTCTATCCCGCCTTCAGGTTCGAGACATCTCTTGTGTCCTTCGTTCCACGAAGATCACCACGACCGAAGTCATCCGCAACCGTCGACACACGGTGGCTTGCCCTAGAAGAAAATAACGGAGACGTGTCAACCGAGGAAAACGAGAGAAGACCACTTGGTGGAAGAAGATACTCACGAGGAAAGGCTGCGTTTTCTCGTCCTTCAGCGCGTTGTCCTAGGATCCTTCGAACCGAGTATCGAGTCGACAGCAACCCGCACGACATCGAAAATGGTGAAATTAGTTGTGACGTTACTTGCGGTCTTCTGCATCGTGAACTTCGTCGACAGCGCGGCTGTCAAATCGGAGGTAAGAGATTTCTAATGCTATTGTTAATTTAATAATACTTTTATCTGAGAAACTACTCGTAGACTTCTCGGCTCGAATATCCATCTACCAGAACTTAGTAACCCTGTTGATTCTGTTTGAAGTAAAATGCGTTAATTAATGTCAAGCTAGATTAATTGATACTAATGTAGAGAGTTTTCTTCTATATTGTTAACTAATTTTAAATGGAACGGTTGATGAAGTATTGACGATGATGTTATTGATTGATCGTTGAGAACGAAGATCGGTTGGATTAGACGAGCGTGGGTAAACATTAGAAAATTACTAGGAAGGAAAGAATTATTTGTAATAGAGCATAGAAGAAAAATAGTTGATTGTTCCAATAAACTTTGTTCAAACATGTTGGTCGAATCTGGTGTACCAGTGCGATTGGTTTTTACCCTTTGGTCTGCGCAAACTTTCTTACTCTACTCGAGAAATTCAACTACTCCCTGGCATAGCAACCTCTTCGAAAATGCGATTAAACGAGTATAGTTGCGAAGAAGGGATTACTTCGACCGAGACGACTACGGTTAGTCTAATTTAAACCTCGTTATAAAGGCTAAAAAATTAATTATATATCTGACCTCGTATGGTCTGGCAAGCCAATATTTATTCGACGACGATGATAAGTTGCGTCTACAACCATCCGCCTCCTTCGGGTATAATCCAAAAGTCTGAAAAAATCCCATGTCCTTTCTCGCGGCAGAAGGAACCAGTTGGTCGTTAATCAACCATTGTTAATATCAAAATAATTATACAGAGACCAGCAATAAGAGTCGTTGCAACTTGTATTGCTCCTCTCTATCTAATTATCTAAACACTAACGACGGTTGATTAAAGAACTGGTGCGTTTTTCTGAAACAGAATATGGGATATATTTCCTTTAATTTATCTCATCATATTTTAATGATACACATTTTCATGCATCTACGTGCACTATATTATTCGTACTACTCTTTTTATGGAATGAAATATCGTTAAAGTTCAGAGAACGTTAATTATTGTCATTGATAATCCAAGTTTTCCAGACTTCAGTTATTGACCCACTGTCCGTGTATTTTGTTTTTAAACGGACACATAAATTCAAGGTGAAACTTACAGTTGAGCGAAAGCAGTGTTCTCTATTTCGAAGAAACGCGAACAGGGTCTCGAGTTTGCATTCTTTTCAATTGTATCTAACGTCCAAATATTACCAAATTATTAATTCTAAAACTAACATATGGATTAGTCCACTTAGATTCCACTTATCCATATAAAATAACTCTGTAAAGTTAAATATTTCTTTAATCCCATTTTCTCCTTTAAAGTTCCAATACCTTAGGCTTTATTTAATAGTATAATAACGTAGCATTGCTCTCGAACATTGTTTAGGAAAAATCGCTACATTTATCAATCTGCAGAATAAATTTACAAAAGTGTCATCGGTGATCTCTGAAAAGTAACGATTTTCGAAAAGCGAATTCAATATCACTGACCTTTACCGCGACGATGATTTAGTACGTAACGCTTGAAAGATAATCGCACAAATTTCACCATGACTCGATCCATCATGGCCTACGCATTAGCACTCGTCCGTTCGAAGAAGCTAAGTTATAAGGAACCTCGTTTCAGAGCAATTTCGAAGCATGATCCACATATTAGTCATGAAAATAAATGGAGCAATATTACTACACGTAATTCCACATAATCTCGACACGAACATTTTATCTAACCTATTTCGATTCATTGTTTAAAACTATTCTTAAAGCATAACTGCAACGATCTTTCTTAATCTATAATCATTGTCATATTGAATCATTACGTAATACTATACTACAGGGATCCAAAAGTTCGTGCGTTTTCTACGTTTTTACAGTTTGTGCAATTTTTTGAAATTGTGAAAGTTACTTTATATGCAAGTGTTACGTATCATATTGTAGCTTTTGGAAAGCTTTTTCATATTTAATTATTAGCTGCAGTAATTTATTGATCGTTTAATTTTTGTTCGTTTTAGTAGAATCATGGAAAATTTTGAGATTCGATTACTTTTACGTCACTGTTGGAAGCAAGAGTTTAAAGCTACCAAAGCAGTAAAGAAAATATTATATTCAGTAGCTTTAAACTCTTGCTTCCAGCAGTGACGTAAAAGTACTCGAATTTCAAAATTTTCCATGGTTCTACTAAAACGAAACAAAATTAATGTAGCTAATAATTAAATATGAAAGAGCTTTTTAAAAAACTACAAAATGATACATATCACTTGCGTATAAAGTAATCTTAATGACTTCAAAAATTGCACAAACTGTAAAAACGTAGAAAACGCACGAACTTTTGGATCCCTGTAGTATAGTATTACGTAATGATTCAATATGACAATGATTATAGATTAAGAAAGATCGTTGCAGTTATGCTTTAAGAATAGTTTTAAACAATGAATCGAAATAGGTTAGATAAAATGTTCGTGTGTTTTCTACGTTTTTACAGTTTGTGCAATTTTTGAAGTCATTAAGATTACTTTATACGCAAGTGATATGTATCATTTTGTAGTTTTTTAAAAAGCTCTTTCATATTTAATTATTAGCTACATTAATTTTGTTTCGTTTTAGTAGAACCATGGAAAATTTTGAAATTCGAGTACTTTTACGTCACTGCTGGAAGCAAGAGTTTAAAGCTACTGAATATAATATTTTCTTTACTGCTTTGGTAGCTTTAAACTCTTGCTTCCAACAGTGACGTAAAAGTAATCGAATCTCAAAATTTTCCATGATTCTACTAAAACGAACAAAAATTAAACGATCAATAAATTACTGCAGCTAATAATTAAATATGAAAAAGCTTTCCAAAAGCTACAATATGATACGTAACACTTGCATATAAAGTAACTTTCACAATTTCAAAAAATTGCACAAACTGTAACAACTTAATAGTATCTCTTTAAATATTAAGTAACTTAGCGTAAAATATGGAGTATTTATTCGAGTGGATATTTATGAATGAAGTGAAAGCTTCGGAGTGAGATTTGAATGCAGGGAAAATCGCGTTACGATTGTGCTTACAGAATGAAATTTTATCTTCAACGATAAGTGGCTTTCTCGTACGCTCGGAAACCAAAGACTAAGCTACGATCGAGTCAGCAGTTCGAATAAAAAAACGACGACTGAAAATCGCAAACTGAGATTTAATCACCGCTAACCAATGTCTAGGAATAGAGTTTTCAATGTTCAATGAAAATTTCGTTACGACAGAACGTTGAATTAATTGAGTTACTCGATTTTCTTTAATCTCCCAAAGAATTATCTACGCGAAAGCTAAAACAACGCGTGGTTGGTTGCTTGCAGGAGTTTGCCGAGCAACTTCGTCGTATCGTCCACGACGCCTATCCAGACAGCCTGAGGATCCAAAGGGCGACAGAAAGCGGAAGAGACAGTTCTAAACGCAACTGCTATGACACCCCGTGCGGCTGGAATGCTTATAATCCCCAAACTCGTCAGACCACGATCTTTATGCCAAACACGTAAGTGACGTTACATCTGTCTAGCTAGAAAACAAAAGAAATAATTAGAGCGTTTCGTGTTTAAAGATTAAATCGGATATGATTCAGGTTCTATTATAAGGAGTATCGGTATGTATCTGAGAATATAGTAACAGAGACGGTAATTGAGCTTTGCGCGTTATCATCAAACCCGGATTTTTACCGATTATTTTGTTCATGGTATACGACATCAAGTGTATGTGCGTTAGCAAGCCTCCTGTATCAACGGATATTATACTTGACAAAGGAGAAGTAGCGAAGGTGAGCAAAATTCATATCTAAATCAAAATTTCGAATAATGAATGTTGTCCTGGAAATTGTTTGTTCCGATTGTAGAACAAAATTGACCATGCTGAACAAAAATAAATGTCTGTATAATTGTCCAATTGGATCGCGACGAATTAATCACGATACCAATTAAATTTTGCTCATCTAAATAATAATAGGGAAGTGTGTGTTCTTATTTTGCTTAGAGACGTAAAATTCTTCTATCTTGACTATTTGGTATTACGTTCAAATTTTGCATCGGAATAATAACAGTGAAATTAATCCTACTTTTATATCGTTTCTCAATTTACTTTATTCTAAATTGTAAAATTGTACAAATATCGACAAGGCGCTTTAAATTTGACTCCACTATTACTGGTTCATACGCGAATTAGGGAAATGAAAAATATCTTTATTATACGACAATTTCTCTGAAATATATCTCACTGTCGCTCTCCTTTCAAGAAATCTGAATCGTTCGAGTTAAAAGTGCCATTCACGTATGAAGTTCCTATATCAACTGTGTTACTTATCTTTCACTCATTGATCTCTGCTCATTAGCTCATACTCAAGGCGTACTTTCTTTTCGAATGAATAGAAGTCATCCGACTGAATTCATGATCGTGAAATTAATTTATTCTGAAAATTACATATACTGAAATTGTTTTCACTTTCGAATCCGAACTTCGAATTTTCGAGCTTTTTTATTTCTCGAGAGATAACCCAGTGACTCGATACGCAATGCGATATTCAATTGCGTGCGTACATGAAACTTAACTATCTTTTTATTATTTCTTGTTTGTTTCAATTCTGTTGTGTAAATTAATTTCAAGTGCAACGATCATTAATTTCATCGCGTTGCGGTATTTATCTATGAAACGTTATAAGAAATAACGATTGCAAGTAATAAGACGATTATATATAGTAATTACTATTAATTTTATATAAACACTAGTATCGTAGAATTTGGATTTTTTGTAATGAAGTTCAAGTTATAGAACTTCGGAATATTGCAATATTTTTTGTTGTTCTTTTTTTATGAGACGATTCACCGGAAGAAACGGACTTGTATATATTGTGCAAACTTTGCGAGTTTTCTTTTGGGTAGACATGAACGCGCAGCCACCTAACGGTTGGGAACAGTAATTAGGAAGTACTCAGAGCAGTCAGCACTCACCATATTCTTACGTATTTTTACGCGAATGTAATTATCATTTTTCTTAAAATAACATAGCCTATGTTACTCCAAAGAAAGCAAGGAAGCTACAGCTAAAATTTGGTATCAGTCGGTTAAGTAGTTTTTTAAATGTTTGTGTACATACAAACAAACGCTGTCTCTTTACATAATAGAGTAAAATATAAGGAATTTATCATATATGTAGAGAAAAAAATAATACAACATCTAAAACATCGATAAACAATGTTTCAGAATAGGCTTCAAATGTTTTCGTTACATTTTTAAACGTAACAATTGCAACGATCTAAATAGGCGCGAATTGCTTGAAACTACAAGCAACACATCGACAGTTTTGATATAAATGTCCATTATCATCGTCATGTACACGCACATACGTTTAATCAATAATCATTAATAAAACGTTCGTTAAGCAGACCCTCGCAAAACGTGTTGAAAACGTATCAGGAATATGCGTAAGCGATTGCCACCCGATGTCCATTATTTATCATGAGTAAGCAAAGAAAGATAGATAAAACCCGATCTTCATGAATCAACTGTGCTATACGCAATAACCCCACCAGTAAAGGAAAGAGGCGCAATTTATAGTTTATCATTTACCAACAAGTTCATTACGAATCGTTAATCTCTTCATTCTACGTTCAAGGAGCTACTGTTCAAATTGATTTACGATCGTTCTGCGTTTCCGGTTTCAATCGAGACGAGATCTTAGACTGATCTCTAACTGTACATCGGAAATAACGTTATCAGTGCAGCCAAACGATGCAATTTTTACTCGGCTAGACTTTACTTTGGGGGATCAAAAATTGGTAAAATTGTTAGATTTCAGCGAATAGAAAATACCAGTTTTAATGAGAGAACTCCACTAGTTCAGAAGTATTTTTACCGTATTTGTCCGACAATACCGACGCCGTATTGCCTTGCAGTCATACCCTGTCAGTAAAACAGATTCTTGTAGGTAGCTGACATTATGTAATACACTGTTATACCTATTTTTGAAAACTTCTATATTTTGAATTAACAGAGTTGTTTTAGGTGTATATTTCCGGAGAGAGAGTTTAAATACTATAACATTCCTCTCATTAAAAATTGTTGGATTCTACTCGCCGAGATCCACTGGATTATACAAAAAAAATGTAACACTTTTAGGTCCCCCAAAGTAAAGTTTACCCTTTTACTCTTCTTGTTGAGGCATTCTGTAGTGAATAAAATTGTTGCTCTTCTCATTACTGATAATAATTATAATCATAAAAAACTAAACGTCCACATATGTGGCCAAGAGCGTGAAGAGTTTAAAGAAATAAAATAAAGGGATGTACTCTAAACGCGTCTGTATTTTTTAATTTCAGGTGCAAGTGCCCAGACGAGACATACAAATGTGTCCGGACGGGGGAGAACGTGTCGATGGGGGCTTACGTATATCACTGCCGCCAAAACGTAACAGCGACATTAAACTATGATTCACCCTACGATATGGACTCGGATTACCTCAGTTAAAACATCGTCAATGGCGACATTGGCAACTATATCTCACACCGTCGAACGAACCGATTCCTACTTACCTCCTGGTCTCGAGAACGGAGATTACTCGCTCTTTATTGGTCGGTATTTCACTCGAAATATTTCCTCTTCCACCATCTCCTCGCGCCATTCGTTTACGGGAAAAATGGCCAATAACGATGCAAACAGTCAGTGCACTGCGTCGGTAATCCCGGCGAACAGGAAATGTAACCTATTAAACAACGAATCACGATTAGTGACGATGTATTAACACCCTTCGAATAGCATCAATACTGAACATTACTATCGCTGAACACTAACATCGCATAATATCAAAATTCTCTCATTCTTACCAACATTTTTTCCATACCGACATTTTTGCAGCGAGCACTGATCGATACCAACACTGCAAGGCTTCATCGATACTATCGTAAATGTATCAAAAAGAATCGGTATGGAATAATCAGTTGCAAACACAACTACGAAGTAATTACTTTCACCGATTACACACGTCGATTGATTTTTGATCATTTACAACGGTGTCTATGCTTACTTGACACAGTATTGATGTCGATCAGCGTTCCCTCCAAAACTATCTCTGCCGAAAGTCAATACCAATTGATATTTGCATAGATTCAATTACCTTTTGGTTAATATTTTGATATCGAATAACTTGAGTCATTAATATACAGGGTGTTCCAAAAATGTTGCAACCCCTTGTCGGGGTTTTCCGTTAATATCTCCTCTACGAAGCCTCGGACAACATTTTCACTAAGGAAAAAGTTGTTTGAAATCACCTCCCGAACCACCCCCTTCAAGGTGTTGCAACATTTTTGGAACACCCTGTATATCGTATCAGCCTTGGCACCTTTCTTTTTTTCTCGTAAAACGTTTTCTTAAAGAACAAGCTTCGAAATTTCGCACTCGACTACAATTTAACCTACGCGACAACAGCGCCACGCGAACACGAGTCACGTGACGGTATTTCAATCTAGACTCGACCTTTCTCGAAGACCAGAATTATTATGTTAAGTTAATTAAGTATATGCTCTCGGAGTAATGAATCGGTATTCGTTCGTTTATATTTAAGAGTTTTCACCGAATTTTTAGTATTAGGACACAGATCGAATGAAAATCGAGCGATGTTGTTCGGACAAAGGGTACCGGGGCCTCGAAACGCATGCGCGAGACTTTCAGAACGAATCATTTTGGCATAGAATGATTGTGTTTGATCTGATTTTATCTGAAGACTTATACAGAGAGCCAGTTCGAGCAGATTTTACTTCCCTGAAATTCTACAAAATTAGAATTAATTAACATCTTCGAATAGTAACAGATTTGCTAGCAAAAATTATTTTGCAGAATGAACATGCGAAAAGAAAGTAATGAATTCGTATATACTAATTAGATAAATACGGGAATAAATATGATAAAAATGATGGTCCTTAAAGTTTGAGAACTATTTTATACACGTACTGCGTTGGTATTTTTGCGTAGCTCTTCTTCCTCGGTTGATAGTAAAATTATGAAAACCACGTATGTACTTTGAGCAATTGTTTTAAGTAGAATATCGATAACCCAATACGAGAAAAAGTCTGTTTCTATTCATACGAGTGAAATATATGCTCGAATTGACTCTGTATCAGAGTTGGGAAACTTTGATTCTGAACGAAGAATGAAGCTCACCTAACTCTGTTCTAATATACGTCTTTATTTACTAATTAGTGGGAATTTCAATCATAATTTGATGTAGAAGCGTGCTTAATCCTATTATCTATCGTTTTTAATCAATTTTTAGTGTTAAGTTTTATTAAAATTATAAGATTTACCTTGAGATCAGAATGCCAGCCTTCGAACGACGCCACACTAACTCGGCGAATGAGCGGCAACACATTGTTGCCAACCAAGCGAAAGTCTCGCTGTAAGGCGCGATTATTCAAATCGTTCAAATCATGAATAGAACCTTTTCGAACTTCAACTCCGCTGAAATCAATCGGAAAATGAATAACACAAACTAATCGCGAACTGATTTGCTGTCGTTCTACATAAACAAGACGCACGGAGCAAACCCGTAAGTTAACAGAAATTTAACATACAATTCATTATAAAGTAATCAAGTAGTGACTGACATGTTAGACTTTTTTTCATGAACGTATACAAGAAAAGTTTTGAATTTAGCTTATTAAAATCTTTTTAGACTTAATTCTTCTTATTAAAAGGTAATTTGTAACCTCTTTTATGCTTAAATTGTAATCGTTTGTATAAGTTTAGCTACTTCGTTATTTTAAAGGCGAATAAAATAAGTAAATGAAACGAAATCTGAAAGGATTCAAGTTTCTATCAAATCTTTGATAAGAATTTAAACATTCGTATTCGTATTCATAAGATATTCTGCTTCGATAAGTAAATAGGAAATCGCATTTTAAATTCCTGACAGAAATACGCACCACTCGTATCTTTAGAAAAGTATAATTATCGCGAAATTTAATTTCTGCAAATACCCACGCATCGTTCACTTACATGATACACGATGACTGTCTAATTCGATTTTCAAAAACACTTGTCGAAGAACGATTTCTATAATCGATAGCAAATGAACTTCGACGCAAATACGCCGAATAACATTCGAATCTGAAAACTTGGATTAAAAATAACGATCCTTGTCGTCGAAGTTCATTCTTGAATGACAATTAATTACCTTAAGTTAATATACACCTTAGAATTACTCAAGATGGTGTAAACGTAGCAAAGTTAGTTACAGTATTTTGATAAGGCACAATCCACAATTTTGTACTTAACGGAGGAAATTCTTTCGAAGCATAATCGATTATTTATAACGTCTTGAAAGCAATAGTAATGTACCTATATCATTCACTCATTACATAACATCATACTACAATTTTTATTCAAAGGCCAAAGAGGTCCCTACTCCAGTTAATATTTAGTCGAATGTTTTACGTTTCAATGATATACTACACCGTTTTGCAATTGCTTTTCAATAATTATAAAATGTTTTATGATTTAAAAATTTTCCAATTGCATTACATTAGATATACATGAAACCGTAAAATAGGAAAGTGATTATATAGAAACGTTTTTCTACACGTTTGCAGTTTTGATTGTTATGATCTGCATTACCAAACAAACGTAGTTTATATTCATAATTTTTGTTTTTGCATTTTCTCTTTCATATATTTTACTAATTGAAATAATTTCTACTTTTTAAAAATGTGTAACACTAACATCTTGAAAATTGCACTTGATTTCTACTATAAATAATTTGAACAATTAATAAGATTCTAAATGCTATCGAGGTTTTAAGGAAGCGTGTAGAAAATAGTACAGGCAATGTATTCGTATGCAGTATTTCACTTAATATTTAATACACAGGAAGGGTAAATTATCTATAGTTGTACAACGATTATCGATGTTATCATTTTTAATAAAAGTAAGTGATGTTGCAGAAAACATTGTTGTATTCTCTGTGTCTTCGTTCCTTGTTCCATCAACCATTCACCTACCTCAATCAGTCGTTTACTGTGACCTGAAAACGCAAAATCAATAAAATAGAACAACCGTAATATTAATGGTTTATTAATATTAATAATGATTTGTGCAAAATATATCAACATTAAATTATTATCTCGAGTAATAAAATTGCCTGTACATTCACTTTTGATACACGGACATACACTTTTAAAATTAGCAATTTCTTCGTAAAATACACTATTATTAATAGTCACAAATAGTCGAGCATCGGAAGACCGCGTCTCTCCTTTCTTTCTTCGGCTTTTGATAAGATACACATGTTAATGTACAACTACAGTATATTGCATAACTGAGCGGCACAGTGTACTTATGTGCGTGTAAAAATGTGTATGTGTAACAGCATCTTTTTCAAAATTATACGCAGAAACGGAGACGCCAAGACTTCAACGAAATCTATATTATTAGGATAAGAATGTATTTAACCGCTTTATGCATACATTGTTATCCGGCAATATTATTTCATACCTTACTTTGTCTGAATATCTTGGATGTCGACAGATTTAATGAAACGAAATTGTTTGGTGTTTTCGGATGTAGCAACTGCTTCCAGTCTGAATATTACACGGGAATTATTTTCTTTTATTACCACGCACGAACTTCTGTTCAGTTACTTCATTTTTTTACAGTAGTTTCACAAACAGAGAATTTAACATTGAAAATATCGACAATATAAAAAATTGAATTTTTGCCAGGTTCGTGTGTATATATATATGTATATGTAAATATAGATATATAGATATATATATATATATCTTTTATAGCGATATACAATTAAAAGTGAGTCAGTAAAAAATATATACTTAAGATAATAAGAATAACATAAAATTACAACTCGAGCCATGTACCTCGTGCGTGGTGAATCAATACTTTTGTCAATTATCATCGCACTTTAATGTCATCACCTTTGCACTGTACAGGAACACTACTATAATATTCATTTTACAATTTTTTTACCAAATAGCCTAAAGATCAGGTAAAAAATAAGGCCTAATGTTTATCCCAGTTCATATGTGTATATATACATATGCACTCAATTATCGTACACCCATACATACAAGCACTTACATACATACAAGCATGTATTTATACATACCATTTATGTATAATGAAGTTTAGAAGAGAAGAGAGGCTTCGAATCGTAATCATATCATCCGTAAGAAAATAAGAGAAATAAGTTATTAAAAACTTTGAACAGAAAATATTTTACATATATATATATATATAAAGTTTGTTTTTTTATATATATATATAAAGTATTTCGTATAATAGTTTCCAAAATTAAAAAACATCAACGAAATCTATTGTATCGATGCTACTCGAAAGGACTTCTGAAGACCTTTGATCAGTTAAAGAAACAGTTTTAGCCAATTTATATTGATCCATTCTATTAAACGTTTAATTTATTACTGCCACAGTTATCTATAAATAAGAGGACATACCTGCAATAATAAAACATAGGACATGCCTGAGTTTGAATACGTTCAAGTGTTATACGTTATGTAATATTTCGATGATGATCATATAAGTCTATAAAAATACAATACTGAATGAAATAAAATTGGCTGAATCTGCAATGCACTTACAAACGACCGTTATATTAAGATAGAATAGTTTTCCTAAATCGTTTAAGATTAAAGTATCAAAAGTTTTATTTTAACTTTACTCTCTTATATAAAACCCTACTTGAAGAATCTCTATCTAACGTGATGGAAAAATAATTATCGCGGAAAAGAACATTACGTTTAAATATCTTACATTACCTGATCACAAGCTTGTCCGTAATACATTTGGAAACATCGCCCATTTCAATCATGTTCCGTTCAATTCATCAATTTAATATCTTACATTCAAAAAACTTTTCAAACCGTATTAGATAAATAACAATTTAAGGAATCAGCGATATTTCCATTTGCATCTTATTAATCATACCTGTACAGTAAACGAACCAAATTTTGTATAATTCGAATGCAATGAGTGTAGTACACAATATATAGACGATTTCTCATACTCCTCGTTCCTTGTTTCTTAACGACCATTTCTATACCTTCTCCGCTCACGATGAACTTCATTGACAAAATAAGACGTTCTTATTCTTAGTAGTTCATGCGCGAAACGTAGATCGAGAATCAGTCTTCATTTTGCCCTCAAATCGTAATAGACCTCTCTTAACTAATTATCAACAGAAAGTATCCGCGAATACGAGATTATCGAAATGAGCTCTCGGTAATAATTATATATTCTCAAAGAATAGTAAAGAAATTATAAGAGATGTAAGATTATACACATGGTTCCGTTAAAAGGTCGGATTGCAAGCGTTCTACACGATAACGATTGTATTGTCGGTAAGGTGATCTAGTTTGGTCATTATCCGTGATCACTCGTGTCTTATGAGGGATTAAGTTTTCGTAACGTCCCATTAACCAATCCTGACATAACCGATGCTGAATGTCCGCCACGTTTTTGGACGCCCAAGACGCATGCCATTGATGGAACTTTGAGTTCAAACGTTTCGTCACAGCTGGATGACACTACATATAAGAAATACTAGTATAAGTATCTGTTTAATTTCGTTGAGAATAAATAAAAAGTTACAATCGTGAGACGTACCTCTCTGGCACGGCTGAATGAATTTTGTTTATAAAGGAATGCTTCCTTACTAGCAACATAAAGCATTTGGTAACTGTTAGGATTAAATCTGCATTGTGTTTCATCGGAATTGATGATATCAGATGTATCACCGGAGTCTGCTAATCTTAAACCAGGAGGTCGTTTTAGAAGTGCATCTACAGGGTCCAGTGCTTTGTCTTTGTCGGTTGATCTAGAAGGAAAGAAAGTCATTAGCAAGATACATTTACAAACAAACATTTAAATACATTTATAAACAAGTTGAAAAAAATAATTACTCTGCTCCTTTCTCAGGATGATTAGCATTAGGTATGGTTGCTGACATCATTCTTGTAGCTTTCTTCCTCCACTGTCTAACATTACGATACAGAAATACGGGTTTACGTCCTGCCAAGATTCTGCCTAAAGAACTCCAACCATTTCCATCCATCTACAACAATCATTTTATGTTAATTTTTCTAAAATGTTGACTATAGAAATGTAGATATTCGTATCTAAGTCTTAATAGCATTATTCACTTCACTACAGTAGGTAATTAGTACTAACAATAACTTTAATATACTTAATGTAAGAATTCTCTTATCAAAGCACAATTGTAAAGTAATTTTATTAGAATATTGTGCACGTTGCTTTTTATGCTTTTAAGCATCATTTCATGCTTTTCTTGAAGTAATAACAATTAAATAAATTTGTTAACCAATAGCAATAAAATTTAGATAAAATAAAAGTAAATGGTAAAAACAGTCGATCACAATAATATTTTACTTTTCTACATAAACAAATAGATTCATGTAAAATTATATCTTCAAAGAAAAATGAATAGTTATTCCTTTTTGGTCCTATTATCTTCACTTTTCTGTTTGATGTTTTCTGTCTTTTTTTGTTTTTTAAGTTACTTGCCATTATGTGATTGTCATTACACGCTGACACATACTTAATCACATACATATCAATGAAGTTGTATTCTATAAATAAAATTTACCAGTAATTAACTCGGAGAAATGTGGATAGGTCAAAGGATATGTTTTAAAGATGAATTGAAAAATGTTAATATTTATGCAGGGAATTTTATGCACAAAAAGCAATAATCGGAAGTAAGTCATATTCGGAATGATAAGTGCAACAAAACAGATTGTCTATTATTTTATTATATCTTCTTATATTATTGATACTATATGAATGACTATTAAAATTCATTAACAAATTGAATATCACGTAATCTTTCTTAACAGCATATAATGAAGCCTTTACTAATAAATCCAACTAAATTCAGTGACAGTACCAATAATATTTAGCAATAATAAAACATTTTTTTCTATTATGTTATACGAATGAAATTAATGCAAAGCATAAGATAAAGTGAAAAAAAAACGTGTGTAAAATAACATTTCCAGTTCAATTTACGATATATCTACATTCATAGATGATGAATGAACTTTTGTGGACCGAAAACATAACAAAAGAGACAAAGTATTAACATAATTTTAGTTAAACTATTCAACAAGTTCAAACTATGAACTTTGCTATTTTAAAATACAGATGTGTTAGAAAAGAGATATATTACTCTTAATATTTATCACCGTTCAATACTCGGCACGCATAATATAATATTGAAATAATAAGCAGAACAAATCGAAGCTAAATAAGATAATATTTAAAATAAAAATCAGATGAGGATAAACAAAAATGTCAACATTTGAATTAAATGTTTATGATTATCAAGTATTTAAATATAATGTTAAAAACATTTCTTTTTTTTGTAAACAATACAGGCAAAGAACTTCTTATAAAAAATGAATATCATTGGAGAATCAAAGTAATAAATTTAGTGGTACAAAATGATGTTAGACAATAATGTTTAAAAGCATTGTTCATGTATTTCAATATCTCTCTTCTATACAATATTATTGTTATCTATTATTATATGTATATTCATTCATATACAGATTACAGTTACAAAATATATATATATATGTCTTATATATATATAGAGTTTAAAATTCACTGCGTAAAGTGAAAACGGAGATATGAGCTTATAACAATCACATAAAATCTGTTTGCAGATACGACTTCATAGTCTCAATGAAACTATATTACAAATGTCACAGTAACGTTTAAATCAGATTATTTGTGGCAACAATTACATATATGTATATCGTCAAATTAATAAAATTTGTGCCACGTTGTCTAATAAAAACGTATTAAACTGTTAAATAAACGAAAAATATATAAATACACGTACATAATACGTGTAAACTCTTTCTCTATATATATAGCGCTTAAAATTCCGTGATGCAGAGCCTTGTCAGAAAATGCATGTTTACATTTTGTACAAAATACGAAGATATATTCAATGAGGAAACAACATTGCAAACACTGCATCTGAAAATCCACTCTTGTCACAAAAGTATGTATACTGTACAAAAACACTATGGCTGAGAAAATTAATAATACCTATTGCTCATAAAACATACAAAACATATATCTCGACATCAAACAATAAAACTAGTAGAGTTACTAGCGTTTTGTTAAAAAGAAATCCTAATGCGATTTTTAAACATGATAAAGTTAAAAGCACGTTAACTATGAAACTGATAAGCTTATCGAAACCTAGGAAAAACAGAACAATCGTTTGATAAAAATTACTCTTCAAATGTCAAGACTGAGCTAAACACGAACAAATGTCGAAATGTATCGAAAAGTAACAATTCTTATTACTGCATTGTGAAATTATTAATACTTTCTAAAGAACTGTACTATTTCGAAGAAAAGAATATAATTACACGAATGAAAATTCATTGGAGCATCGAAAGGACCTTCTTGTGCAAAAGCAATAGCAGCAACCGAGAGAGCTAAAACTGTGAAACCTTTGGCAAATATTTGAACAGGGGATATCAACGCTTCATACTGTTACGTTTTTCGATGAAAGCTGCGTATTAATTAAAAGATACAAGTGATCTTCTATTTACATGCTACACCATATAATCTTTGCTTCACTACTTATATATTAATATATACACAGCAAAGAATTATCATACACACGTATTTCACAATGGCGCAACAGTTAAGCCAGGAACACACTTGGTCCACGCCATGATACACTATTTCCAGTTTAAATTCAAGCTAGAACCAATGCATACTGTATTTTGTTGCGTGCAACAGCACGACGTATCATACTATATTCTTGCAACCAATAAATTTGATCCTAAGAATGTAGTATAATATATTGCATCAACAGCTAATTTTATAGATCAAAGTGCTCTAAACAGGCTTCAGTCCTAGCGTTAAAATTCATCGTTGACCATTTTAAGGAGTAATCTCTAATGTCTAAAAAATACACAATTTCAATGTTTCGTAAACGTACCCTAATTTAAAGATAGGGACGAGAAATTTTCCATGCTTCTTTCAATAATTTCCACTGAGGACCTTAACAGGATTCCTTTGGATGTCTTTGAAAAACATCCAAAATGTAATATGTCGTATTCTGCGTCTTCTTTTCGCATTCGTTTTTTTTGACAGTTACTCCGGCATATTAGAGGTTTTGCAGTGACAAATTTTTGTTTAGTTGGAGTGAGACGAGTGACAGAATATGCCACAATACTGCACGACGTGAAGTGGCGTGGAAGTAATGTGTTCACGAGTCAATATCCATATTTCCTTCCCAAAGGCTTCACTAATCTTTGAATATGATAGCGAATGGTGGAATTTTACAAGTTAGTGATGCACACTACCAGTCGACCTAAGTTGCGTATCAAAACATATGTACAAATTTATATCAAATATTTACAATCTTTAAATTCTATTTCATTTATAAATTCTAGGAATTACGATCTTATCTAGTATAATAATAGTAAGATGAAAATGAAATAAACAGTAAGAATTGACCAATATCAAATGTTATGTTTTAAGTTAACATTTTACATTCGTTATGGCACTACTCGGATGACTTCATTTGTGTATGCCGTGTCCCCTTCCTGTTTTGTACATTTGCAAATGTGTTACATATTTGTCACTAGTTTTCATCCCACAGCTACGTCTTGTTCTAAATATTCAACTTTCTGTTTCTAAAGAAACGTAAAGTGGGCAAGTACGGTGATAGTACGATAATGGACAATACATTAATGTATACATGAAATTTTCCTTGTTCACTTTTCGTTGACCCGATTATTTTTATGTACGATGACAAGTTTACTGAAAGTCATGTCACTGACATGAAAGTAAACCATTTTTAAAAAATAAATATTTAATTTTTCAAGCTTTCAAAGCTTATGTACTTTCATACGATCATTTACAAAACTCACTTCAAACAAAAACATGGAACAAACAAAAACGTTATTAGATAACTATGAGACAAATATAAATATAAAATTTAAAAAAAACAAAATATAGAATTTTTTATACATAAATTTAGACATCGTGCGTTTTTCTCCATACCATAAAAAAATTAAATACCTTTCAACCCTAAACTCATAAAAAAGACTCGAATAAAAGATCCCACAGAAAATAAAATCCCTGCAGAATAATTACGTGAAGAAATACGTCAACCTAAAAGTTATTCACATCATAACAAACGAGGAAGCAAAGCAATTACAGAGAATTGATGGATAGTATTAGCGATAATATAGCACGTTTATGAATACTGTTAACAATCTCCTGCGTTTGAAATTTGAAAAAATTGCTATTCAGATGTCGTTGTTCTATTTAAAATTCATAGAATGTTGAAATATAATTTATAATTTATCGTATAACGTTTAACGGTGTTATTGCAACACACCAAAAGTACGAGCGAATATATATAGAATAAAGAATGGGTATTCGTTTTGTAAGTGCACTATGCAAAATTTTACTTAATTTACAGCACCACGTTGGACGCACTGAGATGGAAATCATGTCTCTCTTATCTCCTTAAATATTATGAAAATAAATATATGACCTTCCGTTATCTTTTTTTGCGTTTAAAAGAATATTAGTTCATTTTACTTATGTATACAAAGATCTGCGACTTCTATGCAACGACAAGTATGAACCAGTGCTCTGACCCCATTCGCATAATAAAGCGTCGGTGATAGTAGACCATATACGATCATATAGCTTCCTCGTATTAGCAAACAACCGAGATTTATATATATATATATATATAAATATATATATGATACAATAATATATATTTATACACACATATGCTGCAACGTTCGTTCCTAAAAATATTTTCTACTTTTAAGGAAGTCAACAAAGATTCTCTTGAAGACTGATTTCTGGAAAGAGTGTCTGACTGCGATTAAAACGTTTACGCACGAATACCTCTGCATTAATACAATCACACGAAATAATAGAAGAAAGTTTTGTAAAACTTTCATTCTTTGGGACACTAGTTGTACACTAAATGGCAACAGTACAACTCCAATCACAGACATCAAATACGAATGAACGTAAACTGCAACGGTGGCAATGATTATGAAAAGGGATGTGGATCCTATACCTTCTTGCTAATGTCAGTGTTCTTGCGCTTTCTGCCCCTCCCCCCCCTTGCTGCCTGGTCGTTACTCACAGGATGATTGGTTGTTGGCTCATTGTCTGTTAAGGTAGGGGTGTCTTTCGGGCTAGTCTGTCCAGCTGGAGCAGAAAACCTCTCAACATATGTAGACCATTTTTCAGACACTGTAACTCCTTCCCTTTCTCTTTCCCTACAACTGTTGTCCATCGCCTCATCACCCTCTGTATCCAATAATTCCATTGTCATTTTGCAGTCCTTTTTGTACTGTAACAATGAAAAACGACACATTTTGTCACGCCTATGTCACACCGTTAGCTGTAATTGAATAATATATTTTGAATGGAACATTAACGCGCGGTAGATTTACGATAAAAAGTATCGTAACGGTAAGTCCGATTAAAAGGTAAAGATAACTCTGGGAAAGGGTTAGTATTAAACTTACTATGTATATTTTAAAGCAGTTTTCATCCGCCATGGCTTTCTCAGCTTTACGTTGATACGCCATTTCTGCACCAAGTCTCATGTACGCAGTAGCACACAAACCACCGGCACCACTATTTTCTTTTGGTTGACGCTGCTCCCGTTGAAACAGTTCCATACACTGCTGGCATATAGGATCCGAAACCAAATGCTGCAACTGAATGTATCATATTGCTTGTTTACGACTTGAAGAATTGTGTTGTGTACAATATTTTTATTCGATAATAAAATTGTATTAGTATTCCTAGATGCATTCTAAAATATTAACACCCATGTACTTACTTGTCTTACAGCATACGTTACAACCTTGTCCAACGTGAAGGCAATATATGCGTGAATACCGAACATTTCTCGCAAGGTGTCTTCATATGCGGTGCTCTCCATATTACCGTCTAGGACATTTTTAACCATATCCAAGAATGCGGGATAATAGTCCTCAATTTCGATTTCATCTGCATCAGACACACGATCATGTTAAATTGCAATGAAATACACTTTGTATTGTTAGTTGCATGAACAAGACGATTGTTTGCTTACTCACTTTTAGGTTTTAATCTTAAAGCGACGGCTGTACTCTCCTTGCGTTGCTGCTTGTATCGTGATTCCTCTTCTGCGAGAGCGACAGCCCTCTCATACATTTTTGTCAACCTCTCACACAAAATGTGATGTAACCTCAAAAAGAGGTACCAATTGTTACTCCCCATGAAAAGCGTGTACGCTTCTTCAGGATCGTTCGACAGGGCATGGATGGGTAATTTTACATCGGGTTCGGTTTTAATCGACGTGGAAGACGGAATCGGAGAGACCGGCGCTTTATTCCTGTTAGCTTGAAGACCACCACCCAACGGAGAGGTATTCATTGTTACTGATTGAGAATTGCTACACGCTGCTACACTCATGTCTTCTTTTTCATCTATTACGATAACGCAAATGAAATACATCAGTGTCTCTTACCAAAATGTTGAAATTTTGTTCATTAGTAAAACTCTACTCACCATCTTCGTCCCTTTCATCGTCGCTAAGTTCCTGGCGTGGATGAAAGAAAAGGTCAGGTATAAAATGTTTCAATAAAAGCTTTATTCGTTGTTTGTCTTCTTTGTGTATAGCTGTTTGACGTTTTACGTGATGAATAAGAAGGTTAGCAGCATCATCTAAAACAGATTTATCTTTATAGGGTAATACAAGATGTGGGCCGCTATTGTTTTGACCGTCCCCGTTGCCATCGTCGACTTGTTCGTGTCTCTGTAATATAAATAAATATTTAGTAAGAAGAAAATGAAATTTATACACGAAATAAAATAAGGTTACGAACCTCATCATATAACGTTTCAATCTCGTTAAATAAACTTTTAGACCTTAGCGCTTTCACGTCATTTTGCTTAAAATTGATACCCTGATGATCAAGGGATTTTAAGTAGTACTTTTCGTTTTGTTCTCTCCAAATTTTATTAAAGCCTTTCTGTGCCTCCCGCCACTCTTCCTCTTTACTCTTTAGTCGTCGAAGAACCACCGGTACCGCTACCACTGGATTTTTCTTAAGACCGTCTATGATATCGGCAGCTTTATCGCCGTATATCCTCTTCAGGGCCCTTTGATGAATTGTAGGAGAACAACCACCAAGACAATCGTCAAGCTTGAATTTCTGAATTTCCTCTTGACTCATTCTACTCATTTTCTTGTGGACACCTTCAAGAACTCTAATCGTCGACGCGTTTGTTTCTATCACACCATCCAATTCGAATCGTTCATCCTCGCAACGATAAATGAATTCTTCGTATTGAGTTTTTCTAAAAATCAAATTCAAGGATCAAATTTGCCGTGCTAATCGAACGCAAATAGTGTAAAAAAATGATTTAAAATATACAAACCTCGATGTTACGAATGTGCTGTCTTCTGACCAAGTTGGAAATGAAACCCATGTATCATTAAGAACTTCTTTACACAACTGCGTTCTTCCGGTACACTTTGGTTGAACATATGACTTTGGTAACGCGCAATATGACGCTCCCAGACGTTTACACGCTGTATAATCGATTTCCATGGCCAAATCGCCTTGCGGTCGTTCTTGGTGACTCCGTACAACATTATTTGGTAGCGCTTCGACACTTAAATTGCTCCCTGTGTTTGCTGTAGCGGTAGTAGAAGAGTCAGGTAGATGACCCAAGAAATCCTTAAACCAGCGTAAAAGCTCCGGAAAGCGACCGAGAAATGGCGTTATCAACTGTACCAGTTCAGACTTGGAAACTATCTCCTGGTTGAAAAGAACCAAACACCTTAGAAAATTTTCATACACTTCCTGAGACCTCAGTGCTTTGCGAACCTAAACAAAGTTGTGTGTATTTTTATGAGATGTACAGACCAGTTTGAAGAACACTACTACAATAATTCTAAATTCGGAATACTGACCTTGTCGAAGAAAGCATAGTCATTCAAACTTCCGTATTTCCCAGCTTCTGCTATAGTAACGCATTCACGCATAGAGGATACTTTATGTTTCTTCAACGGGGGTGGGCCGTGCTGTATGTGATGAGAGTTTCCGGCTGTTACCGAAGGCGTGAACGATGGACTTCTTTTTAATTGTCCTGTATTGTGGCCAAATTTCTGCACACTATTAATATCTCGTACGCCCGATCTGTCACGTTCTCGTTCACGATCTCTGTGATCGCGACTTTCACGTTCTATTGTACCAGTGCCACTCGACTCACGCAGTTCTCTCGAAATGTTTCCCGAATTATTATAAGGTGCCTTAGGTCCCAATGGTTTTTTAACGATTGTTGTGTGATCGTTAACTGTAGCAGTCTTGTTACTCTGAAACATAACAGACTAATACCAATGAGAATTTGCTGATGCACGAGCAAAAATGAATTTTTCATTTGTATGTATAGTTAATATTCGCTATATGCGACTCACCAGTGAGCTCTGTTGATTAGTGGCGTCTGGCAAGAATTGTCCAAACTCGGCAAGCAAATCTTCTTGATTTTCAAACAACTTTGCAACTTGACTGTAAACTTCTGCTTCTGTTAAGTGCTTTGCTCCGCCGGTTGCACCGGACCCACTTGTGCCACCCATATGTCCAGATTCTTTTAAATTCCGCTGTTCTTTCTGATAAGTATGCAAAATTTCTAAAAATCTTTTATACTTGTCTGGTTGGCCTTGAAATCGATTCTACAATTTAGAAAGATTTAGGTAAAAATAGTTCCATTTCACGTCTTGATATATATTTTTATAATTAGATACAAACCTTGATTTTATTAACATAATTGATTGCATGGTTAAATTCAACTGGTTGACTCTGTTGAGTTTGCCCGGTAGTTGGTATGCCATCTTGTGCTTGGCTTAACGCTTGACTCACAGCCTGAGCTTGTGCCGCGCTAACATGTGAATTATTGTATGTCTGTACCGGTGGTGGTGATGGTGCATGTACTGTTAAACTGTTGTTGGAAATATTGTTTGCCAACGAGTGATGTATATTCCCAGAACTGTTTTTAAATGAAACCATCAATCGGTTATTTACTTGGTTGCTAAAAGAAATTAAAAAGTAACATATGGAACAGCGATATCTTACCCTTGCATTATTTGCAAAACTGGGGGCGCTTTAGCTGGTTGTGTCGGTGGACTTGCAACAGGAGGCGAACCAACATTTACTGTGCAATGATGTTGCGACAAGGTAGCAGTATGCGTTGCTGTAGGACTCGGCATACTGACCGATACTTGAAACGCGTATCCTTGTTCATTTGCCTGTACTTCTATTTTATATCCCGGTGGAAGAAATGTGTTGAAACCAACAATAAGTTCAGGATGTCCTTTGAATAAATGGCTCACTCGTGTTATAACTCCGGGCGTATCTATACTTTGTGATTTGAACTCTTTCATAATATCTAAGAAGTCATTATACACCTACAAATAAGCACGGATTTTGATTACTACAATATCGCTTAACGAAATAAACTCTGAATATCATTGATATGCAAATTATTATAAATGTACCTGCGGTTGATCGCTAAATTTGTACTTGACTTGATCTAAGTAAGACAATGCATCTTCTACTTTTAATCTCTGAAATTGTTGGGACCCGCTTCCACCACCTAGGCTGGTGCCTGGTGGGGTTGAAGCTAGTGGTGTTACATTGCCAGAATGGACCTACAATGGGAACAAGAAAATCTTTATGTAACATCCTTTACAGTTGAATAAAAACACAAGATTTTATTAACTATATATATATATACATCTACGCGTATAAAATTTAGAATGTCTTAATATTCATGTGATATAAACCTTATGCCTAATTGTTGGCTGTTGCTGGCTATGAACTTGACTTTGCGTTCCTGGTGTAGGTTGCTGAGAACCCATACTATGGTTATTCCCACCACCTATCCCACTATGCAATCCTCCACCAGTATTTACACTGCTACTGCTACATGTAGAAGTAAGTCCTGCAGATCCACTTCCCTAAAAAAAATACGTAACACTTACAAAACATTTTCATGCAATAATTATTTATCTTTTAATTACGTTTCCGTGTACAAATGTGTAATATTGTTAAAAAATCTTCATAACTACAAATAAATATAATTATAAAGTAAATTTAACGAAAATTCAAGAATGATGAATCTTATATATAAAAATATTTAAAATTTTGTATCTTGTATGTAACTGTACATCATAGGGAAACAAATTTATTAACGCGGCAATTACAAAAACGTAACGCGCGGATAATGGTCGCTTTTAAGCGGATTAATTTCATTCGGTCTCGCATTCAGCTGTATTCGTACTTCATAAAAGACAATTATCAACAATATTTCCATTAAATATATTACATATATATTTATTGTTTTAGATAGTGAAAGTTCAAAAATAAAAAAGTGACTAGTGACCACTAGTTCCTAGTGATAGCTGTTGTTATTATAGATAGATAACGTACCTTAATGGGGGACGGAGCCGCGGTCGGTACAACAATTGCTCCAGTATATTGCTGTTGAGCTTGGGCAGTTCCAAATTGTATGCTTCCCGGCATTTCTTTCGAAGTAACTGATCGAACTGCTTGGCCAGGTACAACAACGCCTATTCCACTGCTTGAATGGTACTCTAAACCACCTCCTCCGCCACCTAAGCCACTTCCTGCACTCACTGACGAGTGCTTTAATGTTGCTGCTGCTGGTGATGCTACTTCGTCCAGCCCGCGAACGCGTTTCATCGCAGATCACATTGGAAATGCTACAAATCGAGAGACGATGTCGCTCAGACACGTTTTTTTCACGTCATTAATTCTCGCGATGTTTAACCCTTCGATTTGCTACTGACGGTTAAAAAACGTTCAATCGAAGCAGAGTGCATGCAGTGGACGCCTATAGGCGTCTAAGCGGATACGATTAAGAAATACTGCTGCATACTACGTACGTTAAACGTTCAAGGATCATAAGGGAACGCTGAGATTTACACACCTCAGAACAGTGATGGGCAAAACCCTAGGCTTCGAATAAATCTGAAGTTTACCGATATGTTTGTCTCGTTTCTTTCTTTGGAAAATTTTCCTCAGAATTATGTCAAACTTTGCTCGGAAAGGTATTTTTAAATGATTGGCGCCAATACTCCCCACTTTGACGTGTACACGTTTACACACGGATGACAACGTAGATAAAACGTTTCCAAAGCAACTTTTAATATCATTGGGATTTTAGATATTGTTTGAAATTTATTCAAAGTCATTGTTCATAATTTGTTGTCATCGCTAACAATAGCGGTTATTCGAGATATATTTTTTTTAAATTTAAATTACGCGCGCATCATGCCAAATAAAAGAAAAATAAAACCCTAGGGATATGCGAGTGACCCTCTGTTTTGAGAGTTGCGAGCAAAACTGGGGAGTAATATTGTAGAGGTTGGTGTCCCCACCCAAAAATATTTTGTGAAGGGCAAGCCTCGACGATTCTCCTGTCAGCATCGAAAGGGTTATTATCGTATTTATATAAAATAATTGTTGTCTGGTAGGCGATCGTAAACAACAAGCTCTGCAATATCATTCTCGGTATGTTTGGCGCGCCTCGAGCGGACGGAAGAGCTCGTACAAGCTTCGAAAGCGTTCAGTATTGTTTCGTTTACGGTGATAAAATGACGCGATCGACGATGCATCCGCAATACGCGAGCCAAAGCGTACATAAATACGTTTGTAAGCGCGCCGAAATGTAACCTTCGATGGGAACACTGTAATAACAGTTTCGATTTTTCTTTTTTCTTTTACATTTTCTGAGAAAGATATACTCCTAAAGTTGTATTTAATTTGAAGGAAAATGTACGAGTTTGCAAAGATTTACGTATAAAGCGTGGAAATATTAAATGCGTTCTTCTCAAAACTCCGGTGAACATATCGAAAATCCAATTGGCTACGAATTGTAATACATTGTTCAAATTATAAATATCTAAATGCGAACGTACACATCTAATATAATTTTCAATCATCGTATACTTCATGGAAATGCTAAATTCTTTATTTCAGACTAACCCATGCAGAGAAACCCACAGGGCCGTACGATAGCGTGTAATAAGGGGCGCCTCGCTGAACTTTATATACTTCCGTCTTTTTTTGTATTTTTAAAAAATGTATTAAAACTTCCTATAAATGTGAAGAAATAAAACTACATTGGACATTTAAAAAAAGAATTGATTTGTTTTTTAAAATGACATTCCGAAAGATACTCTTCTTTTCGGTCCGTTATCGTAATGTTCCTTTTTAAATTGTGCGAAATAACCTCTTACGAATTGATATTAATTTAGAAAACTGTCCCAGAATTTTGAAAGCACCGCGTCGAGAGTTCCGTGTGACAGGCACACACAACGAAACCGAAGCAGCGAGAGCACTTTCCCGTAACTTCATGCGTAGAAGAAACGTATCGTCTAAAGAGATGTGGTAGAGAATGGAAAAATCGACGAAAAGGTAAAAGTTTCACACGGTTTCTGTAAAAGAAGCTCATTAAGTTACAAAATGCGAATATTCCCTCGCATTTCGTTCGATTAGCACTTGTCTCGATGTGCGATTGTATTCCACGAAATTGATTCCGCACTTCGGACAATATAACCCATTACAAATATATCGTTCGATATTGCAATTCAATTTAGATCGATTTAACGTAATTCAAACTGAAATTTTTCGCTCGATTTTATAGTTATTAATAATTGAATTACTCATACCTGTAACTGCTATATATATTGCATAATATTAAACGCTGAAAATGCACGTGGTTATGTTTTTTGATTTATATGGATCTAAAATGTAATTGTAAAGAATACATGGTAAGTTGAATATTAGCACACGTTCAAAGAAATAACTTTTATCGTGTTTCAGACGATATAACCTCACATAAAATGATGCTGTATTTTAATATGTATAATTATATGTATATATCATTGTATATGTATGTATCTGTATATAATTTTTATAATCGTCTGTATTAATGAATACATACTTTAAATGTAATACACCTATGTTCATATAATGAGTTCATATAATGGTTACTCCTGCATATCTTCGCTTACCACACTGCTGTACGGATGCTTTTATATTGTACTTTTCAATGACTTTATAATTAAATAAGTGAAACTATGGTGTATAAATATATGCATAATAAAAAGATGTAACATGTACTCAAAGCTTTGTAGAAACTGATTCTTAACTTTACTTGCGTTCTGTTCAATGTTTGATTTTGCTTTTACAAATGACACAGAAATGATCTCGTAAGGTTACTTGTACTTACATAAAAACAAATCCCATTATTAATACTTATTATTTGAATCTATAAACACGTTAGTTAACTTTATTTAAGTAAGTAAACTTAACTGCAAAGAAAACATGTTCTTATATTTGCATCTATACTTAGATGTATAGAAATATAACTGAAATATTTGACTTGTTATTTTGTGCTCAATTCATAGGACTTTTGACATCATTGTCTTACAATGTTTACTTTATCACTATGAAAATAAGAAATGGGGCGTAACAAAGAACATGCAAGAAGTATCCAAAACATGTTAACTACCTCTTATTGGAAAATTTATTACCGCGGGTTACTTATCTATAATTGAAAATAGAGGTATCTTTGATTAGAATGATATAAAGTGATAGAGAATAAATCTGCCAAATGAAAGGTATGCTGTAATTCAAAAATATATTAATTACAACACTTTGCTTCTATATTCGCATAGCACATCTTCCTAATTTGATACTTGATATTTCTTGCTTTATAATACAGAGAATAAGCCATATAACTTTTTTTTACAAACTGAATTCTGAAGTCTAAATTGAATATTAGGAAAAGAATACGTTAACATAGGATCAACTTGGTGTTGATTTTGAAAGTTTAGAGTCGGATGTATTCTAGAAAGTTGAAGCTGTGCAAAGGGTTGAAGAAAGTCATAAATAATGACGTTGGTACGATATTTAGCTTGTAGAACTTGCGAAGCTTGTTAAACTGAAACAGAGCAGCTAATGAATCGTGCAAAGAATGGAAAAAGTTAAACGAATACTTTGTATCGAATACTCCAAGTTTTGAGAGAGGCTACATGACTTCGATGTTTGTTCGAAGAAATCACACTCTATATGCAGCAACGAAATATAAGAGGTAGACATACCAATTTCCATCTGAAAAGAAGCTGAACGTTCTTGCACCAGTGAATTTCGAGGGAAGTTGTCCAGAAGCAAGTGGTCGAGGTGAAATGGTCGATCGCGACGAAAGTAATATTCTTCCACGAGGAGATACGGCCGTTGGTGGAATTTCTTTCTTCGTAAAATTTCAATCGCAGTATCGGTGCTCGCGAAGGGGAATTCTCGCTGGGACAGAGACGAAATAGAGCCGGTAAAGCCCAGCTGCACGGACGCGTTACTGGCCGTCCCGTGAAGTCGTCGAAGCGAGGTTTGTCAGTGTTGCACGTTTCCAAACACTTCCCGGCCCTCGACGTTACGCAATATTCCACGTAAATACATAACACATTTTCCCGAGAGCTCCAGTGAAAAATTATTCGTCCTGCGGTGCTCCTTTTACAAAGGAGCCACCTCGAGTACCCGAAGCACTTGTACCACCTCTTCACCCGTCGTAATCGGTCTATTCCAGTTCGTATAAACTGACTTTTCGCACAAAAGCTTCGGCTCCGTTGTTTTTTCACGACCAAAAAATCGACGAAGCCTTAACGGGCCGGTCGGTCTGGTCGCGACAGGAATTCACTATGCTCTCGCGAATCTCCCTCTCAGAACCATCGAAATCTCGTCGTGTGAGTAAACAAACTTAGTAAAATGCACATTTTCGCGAGTACTTCAATGGATTACCGCACTTTTTTAAGGGAAAAAAGGCAAATGCGAAAGGCATACTCGCACTCTCGAGGTACAAGGCAAACTATTGGATTTTGTATGGCAAACAAGGAACTGACTGGTCGTATAGCGGGATGAGGAAGGTGGAGGGGATCGCGCAGGACCGTATTCATCCGCTAAGCGTCTCTGTTACCAACCACTCGGGTACCTCCTGCAAAGCGTACACCGTGCCACGCACAGCTCTTGCCGAGACTCGAGACTTCTCTTCGAACTTTCCATTAATTGTGCATCGATTATTCTTCGATACTTTTTCCACGTATTCTTGGATAAAGGTGCACCACTCACTTTTAGGTAACTCGAAATACACGGAATCGCTCGGAATGTAATAGCCACGGCAAAATCCTCTTCGAACACATTAACGCGACAACTACGCACGCATGGATTTGTTAGAATTGCATTTTTCTACGGCTATATCGTTTCACCACGCTTTTCAGTCGATCGAGTGACAGTTCACGTTTCAGAAAATAAATTCAATTCGCATGTTTCTTTTTATTTATTATTATTCATTTTTCAGCGTTCCCGCAATAAGTCGCGTTCGTTTACGTGAAAACGAGTTAAAATTTAAGATAAAGAGTGCTTAAAAAAAAATTTAATATCTATAGATATAAATACTTTGGGGAAAAAAATGCAGACGGATACTCTCGAATAACGTACTGCCAAAGTTTTGGTCAAGCCACTTCTCCACGACACGAACTTTCCGTAAGTCACGTTAATAGTTGTAGACCGATTAATAACTATAAAACCTCACACTACGCGAGTTCTGTTCGCTCGGACGGTATTGTAATTCACACAACATATGGAATTTTAATTACGCCGTGGAACACGACGATTTAACGCAAATCGAGCGGGACGTAGAATTTCGTATAAACTCGCATAGCGCGAAAATATTTTGTATCGGTGTGGAAGGTGAAAAAAGAAACGAAGAAGAAACATAGCCAGAAAGCGTGATATATACGAAATCGCACGAAACACTATTTCGAACGTTTGTTTTCATATGTAATTTCGTTCCTTCGAATTTCGATTCGGTACACCTTTCTCGAGCAAGTCCGATCGTTTCCGATAATTTACACAAAGGAGCCTATTACTAAGCATCTTCGAAGGAACGTTGCATCGCGTCGATGAAATTGGAGGATTGCGTGGTGCCTAATGTGACGGTAGTGAATACAGCCCTGAAAATTGTGGCGGCGAAGCCGCCAAGAGGCGCGCGCAGTCCACGAAATATCCGAGCGTTTCCCCGCGGCCGACATGTTCGCGCGGCCAACAGCTGTTCCGAAAGGCGAGCGAACTCCCCATCGTAATCTGGGTCATGGAAACTGCGCAAAATGGGTTGCACTTGCACCGAAAACGCGCATTTCTTCGAAAATCGCCGGATCGCCTCGGGAATTTCGCCTAATCCTATGGACGGAACCAGCACGCGATACGTTGCCGTCCGCACTATAAATTGCCATTCGAAGTATGCAACCTCCTCCGAGCAGCCGTTGCATATCTGTCAACGTGCTTGACTGGTTCCCGACGAGAGAGCCGTGCGTGGATTGGCCGAGAATTTTCGGACATCGACCTACGCGCGAGCCTCGAACGTGCTAATCGCAGGATGCGTGGAGACGATATTTCGTCGTATACACCACGTGCACGCTCGTGAAAAAATCCCGTCTAACGTCTCTCGATCAGTACTTTTTACGCGGGATCTTTTATCGAACCGTCATAGACCCGATTCTCTCTTTGACGCTGTACGAAGTCGGGCACAGGGCGCAGCCCACGTGAAACGTAATCTATTGAATATATTCACGACACCACGTGATTGATTCGGTATTTTCTTTTAACCTTTACAATACTCGTAAATTTTGTAAGTTCTTTCAGAAATGCTATTATCGCTGTTGTGCACGGCCACCAATCGATACACACGCGATTCCGGTTAAAACGACGTCAGGCAAACGATGAATTTTGATTTTTACGAGAAACTTTTTATGCGACCGTTCCCGTGGCGTGCTGGAACACTTATTAACGTTGAACCTACTTGTTTTTCGAAAATTGTTGTTGAATCGATGTAAAATACTTTCTAATAAACGCTTTTTTTTATCCCCGAATCACATAAATAAGCAATAAAATCATTCTTTTTTTAATAATGCTATTCAATTCCTTAAATCACACGAATTATTCGATAAACTTCAATAATGATGCTTAAATACTACATATCGGATAATTATTTCTAAAGTATTAAATTTGATCATATGAACATATGTACTGATTATATGTATTCATATTACATATAATTTGTTTTATAGATTCTATGGTATACTTTCTTATATTAACAAACCATGATCTGAATCAAGGTGACATACATACATCTTGATAAACCCTGGCCAAAAAATATATTCTAAACATTAAGGATATGATATTGTATATCTAGATAAACAAATTTGTCCAAGAATGTTCAAGAAAGTGATTGTAGGCATTTCTGGTGGAGTTGATAGTGCTGTAGCTGCACTTTTGTTGAAAAACAAAGGTAATTTGAGAGTGTTGAAGAATTTAGTACTACATATCAATTAATAATGTTATTGGAATATTAAAACCAGAATTATCAAAGGATTCAATGTTACTGGAGTATTTATGAAAAATTGGGACATTGCCGATGAAACAGGAAAATGTTCTGTCGAAGAAGATCAAGAACATGCCCAATGGGTGTGCAATAAACTAAAGATTCCTCTTGTAGAAGTCAATTTTGTAAAGGAATATTGGAACAATGTGTTCAGGTATTTATTGAATAAATAAGTTCATAGGTACTTGTAGACCTTTTAAGTAATATCTTAACACTTTTGTCTTTTCTAGTTACTTGATAGATCATTATGAGAAGGGATATACGCCAAATCCTGATATTCTATGTAACAAATGTATTAAATTTGACAAATTTTTTCATTTTGCACGTACTGAACTTCAAGCTGATGCTATTGCAACTGGACACTATGTCAAAACCAGTTTTGGTCCATACCTTGAACATTTTAAACCAGACACCAGTAAGTATGACAACTTTTTATGTATCTATATTACAGATGTGTAACGAATACATATTCTACAGTTGCAAATATAATTTGTAACGTTATTTTTAATATTTTTAGATGTTTGTTTATTTAGGGTACAAGACAAGAAGAAAGATCAGACTTTTTTCTTGTGTCAAGTACCACAGATACCATTACGATACTCTATGTTTCCTCTTGGAGAACACTTGAAAAGTAATGTTAAACAAATTGCCCTAGAAGCTGGATTGGATGTAGTTGCCCATAAAAAGGAAAGCATGGGCATATGTTTTGTGGGGAAACGAGATTTTCAGAGTTTCATATCTGAGGTACATAATGACTAAATGTTGTTAGCCTAATTGTGTATTACTTTATTTTGTAAAATTTATAGTATATATCTGACAAGCCTGGGGTCTTTATAGACTTGCATAATGGTACCGAAGTTGGAACACATGTAGGCTTTCATCATTGGACTGTAGGTCAGCGAATCAAAATTCCAGGTTGTTTAAAGGCATTCTTTGTGTACAAGAAGATTCCTGAAACAAATGCTATACTTGTAGTACGTACGAAAAATTAAGTATATAGATTCATGAGCAGGTTAATATTATTTATTAATGCCCATAGGTACAAGGAACGGATCATCCGGCACTCTATTCTGATTTAGTGGTAACAGGAACTCCTCATTGGATATCTGAAAAACCACAAGAACTTAATAGTTATTCCAAAATATTAGGTTGTGACTTTCGTTTTCAACATGCGGATTCTACGATACCCTGTTTAATTCATCAAACTATAAATGATCAACTAGTAATTCGACTTAGCAAACCTTTAAGAGCTCTTACAGAGGGTCAGGTACAGTTTCTTTTTTTTATGTTAACTTAGATTACTTTGCCATAATACTTAATAAATAATATTTGGTATTCTTGTTGTATACTTCAGTTTGCTGTTTTATATAATGGTGAAGAGTGTTTAGGTAGCGCTCAGATTATACGTGTTGGTCCATCATACTATGTTCTTGATAAAGAAGTGAGACAAGAATATAAGCAAATGGATGATACAAACGAAGAACAAATTGTACATGCAGTTGTCTGATGAATAATATTCCACAGCAAGATATTGTAAAATACACTGTGTTGTAATTTTTATTAGTGAAAAATAAACTATTCCGAAAAATTACGATACTATTTTTATTCCTTTTCCCTAATTTTTTGGATATCCTTCATAAATCTTACGATACATTAGAACAAATAGATACAATTTTATCTGAATTTAAACTAAATTATGCCAGTAAATGTATTATAATTGCCTATAAAATATACCGAAAAAACAGTAGACCATCAGTAACTTGAAATTAGAACAAAAAGACTTTTCATTTTTGCGACGGAATACTTGGTTAAAATGTTTCGTCATTATAGAAACATCAAAGTAAAATCATATTGGTAATACAATTGAAAGTTCCGATATTGAAATTTCCTTTTGGAGTATCATACGTTTATCAAGGTCTACGTTGAACGATAATGATGACCCCCGAAGAGAAACTTTATGGATGTAACATAGTATATTGGAACTTGCCGAATCATGAAGATCATTTTAACAGGAGAAAAAGACGATCTAACGGTGAGTTAATCTTCGAATCTAATTAAAAAAAGGGATTTCTCCAATACAAATTTGACAAAAGAAGAGTCAACTTACTAATCTCGTTCGGGATTATTTTTACACGCATATCGTTACTACGTATTATACAAAATTCAAGTTTAACTATATGTGCGTGTACGATTAGGAATAAAATATCGTCACGATTACTTGCAGTAACAACAGAATGAAAGATAAACGTTTCCAAAGAGAAGCAATAGAAAAGAGGTCAAGCTTAGAAAGTGTCCTGAAATAAACACTACGTTGCATATTTTTTATATTCAAAATACATATCTATTTAAGCAACAAAAGGTTGCCGACATTTCTTCCATAGGTTGCACTGGAAATCTCAGAGGAAGAAGCTGTACTAAACAGTCAAAGACAACATACTGGTCAGTTTCCTATACCAACTCTCGGTTTGAACGCTCCGTCAGCTGTTCTAAAAGCTCTAACAGAAACCCCAGGGATAAATGAAGCAGTAACTCTCGAAGAACTTTTAAACGATCGTTGGGTCGACAATCCTTGGATCTATCGTGCAACGTGCCGAACATCCTCGAGGAAAGGAGTACGAAATCGCGTCACACCAATTGAGCGCGGGTGACGAGCAAGAAATCGGAAGTACCGCGGAGACGATTGCTCCTTCGTTCGTCTTTTGAAGTTCCTACGTCTTGTAACGACAATCGGCGCTGGCGATGAGAAAAGACACTAATAACGTCGGGGGTCACGTGTAGAATGTAAAACAGCGCTACGCGTTATTGAACGATAACTGCAAGTTATTAGGGTCGATTGACGAGTAACTGGACGTAAGGAGCGCGTAAAATGCCTCTCCCGGTGTGCGTGCACGTACAGAGAGCTCCGCCTCGATTGTTGGTTACCATCGCCATTGGCGTTGACCGCAACGTTACATATGTAAATTACTCCCTCGTACGAATGTCGGCTTGGGACTAATTCGACCGTACGCGCAATGTTACATTAACATTCGCGCCGTGATCGCTGCCGTACAATAAGCGGTTCAGTCTGTTCCTCTTCACGGGCGCGGTGTCACCGCTCGAATCGGTGCTCCGGTTCCAACGATACTCGCCGCTACGTCCTAGTTCGATCTTGATCCCCATCTGCGGGTGTTCTTGGCCTGCAGTGACCCTCTCGATCGTGGCGACCGGGCGATGTGACAACGCGCGTGGTTGCTGGAGCGCGACCGATCGGCCACTGGGGATCGAGACACGATTCACCCTGGGACACGGTTGTTCGTCTGGTTGTGAACAATTTGTAGGAGTTACGATGGAGTAGTAGATAGAACGGGCGGGAAGGACTTACGTGCCACGGCTCGATTTGCTTCCAGGAAAGATGAGGGGCGGAAGTAGTTTGAATCAGTACAACGACGACGACTTCTTCAGCGGCGGGCCGTGTCCTTCGTGCAGGCTGGCCATCAACAAGGAGACCGGACGACTCAAGTTCGTAAGAAGTAGAGTAGCTGTCCGAGCGATCGGACGTCACCTAGAAATCGGACAAATGTTTTATTCCATATCGTTAAGAAAACAGCTGTACGGGATGCGATATTATTCAACCGTTCGCGATCGCTGTTTTCGAGCATTTTTAACGCTAATAGCATAAGTGCCTCGATTTAAAACGCGTTATCGTAAGTGACGAGTGATTGTCTGCGATGGTCAGCGGGAATGTTAGTAACGACTTGTGCAGTTTCTCAACTTCAAACCTGTTTCCACCTGAGTGGGTTACAAAAACCATGTGCTTTCTTCGTCATCACGCTTTTCCTTGCATCGCGGGCTGCTTTTCTTTTCGTAGTTGCGCTTGTACACAAGGTGAGCCGCTGTTTTCTCTGGAAATGAAACAATACTATTCATACTATTTCAATTAATTTCTGGGTGGGCTGGAGAATTTTATTTTTGCCTGACCGTCCGATTGCTGGGCCAGTTACCCTACCCAGAGTTATACCGACCACGGAGGCTGACCGTAAATGGGACAAGATTGATTTTATTCGAAATGCGCAGGTGGTGCATGGGTGGAAACGATACTTGGCGCTTTCGCGTCAAACTGATGCTACTGATCCCAGCCGTATTACTGCCGATCACTATTATCTTCATCGCTTTGTCGCGATCGCAGGTCATAGGAAAGACGCCTTATCACCGTACGTATTTGATCCACGCGACACGGAGGCAGGACGAGAGGGCTGAGGAAACCTTACCGTGTAAGTCTATTGCTCGTAAAATGAACTTGACTTTAACGACGTCCGGTTCGTTGGGTACCCAAGGATCCGCATGGTTAGAGCAAAGCGCGTACGCGTGGCCGTGATTTGTCGACCAGTCACGATTGCGGAAAATGATCGACCATAGGATGACTTCCGCCACGTTTGACTTCTGAGGTCGTTTTGATACTCCACTGGGACTTTGCAGCGCTGCGTTACGAACATTTTACACTCGCTTGCGAGTATTAACAAGGCACACGGCAACCAAGCTTCAATTTCTTTATTTATCTCTTTCGCATAGAACTTTCTTTACCTGCGAAAAATAGAGAAATTGTATTAAAAATGCATACTTATTTTTTTATTTACTTGACATGCAATGAGGTGTTATTTTTCTGCTAAATTAATTCTAAACAAATTTAGAATCAATTCTGACTAATTCTTTTTTAAAATTTTACTAAAATCTCGAAATGTACAAAAAGAACAAATCAGTATAGCTCACCTGTGACTCGTGTACCGGGTGAAAGGAATATCTTGAAGTACTCGAAGCGCAGTCAAGTGTGTAAAGCGATATCCTCGAGGACAGAAGGCTTTACACGTGTTTTTCGCCACTGGTTACAGGGCCACTCGAGCCTGCAAGTCACCCTTGTCGCGACTAGGCTCTCGATGCCCTATAAAAACTATACTTGATGAAACGGGATACAGGGAGATACACGAGGCACGCTCGAGCGCCATGGAAAACGATACTCTCAAGGGTATAAACCGCCAAACGTAGTTTTCGCCACCCAGGACCTCGCAGACCTTCGACCCCATTGATGCGATTAGGCTCTTAGGATGCTAATGATCAGAGTATATATACCGGATTTGTCCCTGGGATCGTGACTTTCATCGCTCGAGTGCGCTACCGTCTTCAACCCCTGCTGGTTTTACGACCTCGCTATATTTCTTCGGTTTGAAGTGCAAGGCGCGTCACGCAGCTGGTATATACCTGCGGTTACGTTCGAGATAGAAACAGTGGTAAATGAAAAAGGCGAATGGTATAATGACGTGTATGCTTTTATGACCTCGCTATTTTCATTAGTGGTATCGTAAACCTTTCATGGGGTTCACCTGTCATCCTGTATATAAAAGTAGTACGAGTATGCGTACTTCTGTGTGCTTACATTATTTTAATGAAATGAAATGAAATTATAGTAATTATTTAAATTAAATTATTAAATTATCATTCACATTTTGGACATTACACTCATTGTTTGATTCCATTTATTCTACTTTTAGCGCGTTAGTCCATAGTATTGCTACATGAATCAAATACTTTAAATAAAATAGTAAAACTAAGCAAAAGGTGGGATAGTTTTTAACCCACCTAACTTGAAAGATGTAATGGGTATCTTACTCTTTATAAAAGTAATAGTTCTATAGGCCCCGATAGGTCTAAATCTGCTACTTTTTTTTTTATTAACTGATGTGTATTTCGTTAGTGGCGACCAGCCGCAGTGACACCGAACGAGCGAGCGAGGAAGAGGAAGAAGACAGAATCCTATTATCTGGAATGAAAACAAGCTACGTGCCGGTGGAAACGTTCCTTCCGCCGCAGAAACTTCAACGACGCAAGAGAGAGCTCGATGGGGTACATTATTCAAAATATACCGTCTCTCGTTAAAGTGGCCTACCGCAGCGTCTTTTCTTACAGTAACTCACCGAAAGACATTTAAGAAGAAAACCGGACATCGCGGGTAAAGAGTATCGTGTGCGCAGCACCGTTAATTAGCGTTAATCAACATCAAATTAGTGTTACTGGTGCAGTGTATAAATATCGATCGTCCCACTGCCAATCCTCTCATTCCGTACAAGGACAATTAAGATTGACGATATCGTTTCTTCCACAACCAGGGAGCATAGTTTACAAACGAAAAAAGAATAGACAAATTACTATCTCTCTGAAGCGTTCTCTTGCCATAAATTATGTTTTCGAAGCTAAAAACTGAATCTTCTGAAAGAAATACAGTAATGTATCGTTAAACGCACAAATTTGTCCAGCATAAGTGCACAGAAATCAGCCCTAATACTAGGGGCTATACCTCTTGAGGGGTCAAGGAGTTCGATAACCGAGTTTTGTATATTCTTTGATGTTTACCGCCGAGTGTGTTTTCGCTCCGTCCTCTTCTTTATTCGCTCTCCTTCTCTACGCTCGACGGCAAACATCAAAGAATATACGATAACTGCACAAAGTCAGTCCCGATCTTGTGCATTTATAGAGACATTACTGTATCTCGTGCAGGTGCAGTCGACCGACTACGTTGCCGGGAAAACGGACGACCGGAACGCAGACGAAAACTTGGAGCACTTCCTGGACGATTACTACTCAAAGGTGGACGCGGACGAGGTCAAAGATAACCCTGAAATACAAAGCAACGAATATCAAGAGTTAGTATAATAGCGTATCGATCGTTGAAAAATCTTAATACTATTTCGTCTCTTTACGTACTCTTTAGAGCTTTCATTCTTCAGGTACGACAACCACCCGTGCGACACGCGGAGAACCGAAGAGGAGGTGCGCTCGAGGTTGTCCAATGGAAAATACGACGGGAACGAGGAGCGTTCTCAAGACGAGTTCGACGAGGGCGAACAAGGCGGCAGACACTCGATTTCAATCGATGACTTGGACACCGGTTTGCCGATCACCGATGAACAGATCGAGGACGACGCGAGTCCCGATTTCCACGCGTTTTGGAAGGGCGAGGGCAACGGGTGGGCCATCAGGAAGACTCAAGGTACACTTGACGAGCTCTCCCTCTAGCGTAATTTCTCCTCGTACGCTTTTTAAGAAACAGGTATTCTTCGCAGCAAAAATCATGCTCACTTACATGGACAGGGGCGCTGACCCATGCGAGGACTTTTATCAGTACGCCTGCGGCAACTGGGCGAGGCACAATCCCATACCGAAGGATCTGGCGGCCTACGACACCTTCGAAATAATCAGAAAGTCGTTGGATTTCGTCCTCAAGGAGCTCCTAGACGATCCTATATCCGGAGACCTGGAGACGAACACCAACGACGCGACCGTCAAAGCCAAACAGCTCTACCAAAGTTGCATGAATTACGGTAAATGCTGATGGACGTCACCCTCGCGACCTCCGAGTCTGATGCACCCCTGAAATTTTGTATACGTCGTTGTTAGTCGTATTTTAATGTGTAACTTTGTAATGCTTTGTTATAAATTAAGGAGGCAAATAGGTCTAGAACTACGTTCTTTTTAGTGATTTGCATGAATTTTTTGTAGTTAAATATGGATGTATATAATTTAATGAAAGTTTGCGAACATTTGATATATATTCGTGCAGAAAATAGTGTAAATTATGACGGCAAATTCAGATACCATTTACGTCAATTTAAAATGTAAAATGAATCCAAATAGAGGAATTCGAATAATGGTGCACTTGTATTGAACACACTAAAAATTAGATATGAGTCGTATAAGACTAGTACACTAGAGTATTAATAATACTAGGAAATATTTAATTTCAAAATGATTAAGTGATTACTGATCATGTTATTACAGAGCTATAACTGTTTCAAAAAAATTCATAACTTTTTTATGGTTCAGTACAAAAATCTACAAAAATTCACAAGAAGGTATTCAGCAGTGTACAATAATACAAAAAAAATTTCAGCGAAATCATAAAGTTTCATAAAATGATATACATCCTTTTCTTGCTAAAAAAATTCATGCAAAAAAAGACGTAGCCCTAAACCTATTTGCCCCCTATTTAAATAAACGCTAACGAACAACCAAGTTCATCAGACTCGAAGGTTCCCTAAGTCAGCGACAACTTTCTTGTCTGAACCTATAACTGCTTTGACGCTGACTTTCGAAACGTATTAACGCGTGAAATGTGGCTAGAGATCTTGGAGCAACGCATGGAACGGCCGCTTATACAGCTCCTGGATCAGCTCGGCGGTTGGCCTATCCTAAGGCCAAACTGGGATCCAGAGAAGTTCGACTGGCTCCTCCTGGTCGCCCAGTTGCGACTATACAACAACTGTATTCTCATTTCCGAATGGGTTGCGCCGGACATTAAGAACAGCGAGCAATACGTGATCCAGGTAAACGCTTCAATTCTCCGGGGACTCCTCTCGAGATATCTTCGTGTCTTCCTCCAGATCAATATCTACAACAAATTATAATTGCAGTTCGATCAGACGACACTGGGCCTTCCCACCAAAGACTATTTCCTTCAACCATCGAACACGATATACTTGAAGGCTTACAAGGATTATTTAATCAAAATCTCAACCTTGCTGGGAGCATCTTTGAAAAACGCCACCAACGACGCCAATGAGTTGATAGAATTCGAGAAGAAACTTGCCAAGGTACGACACTCAACGATCTCACTTCTAATCGTTCTCTGATTCGTTTTCATTCTTTATCAAAGGACTCAACATCTGACTTCGTGTTTCGCAGATCACGTTCACCGTCGACGGTAGAAAGAATATCTCCGAGCTCTATCACAAGATGAGCATCGGTGAGCTGAGGACTCTGGTGCCGCAGATCAATTGGCATCGATACCTGACGATCGTTTTAGCGCGACCGACAAATATCTCCGAGCCGGTTGTCGTCTTCGCGTTGCAATATATACAGGACCTAGTGAATCTACTCGCGAAGACTAGTCCACGGTATGTCATCGAAAGCAGTGGCTTTCGAAGGTCGAAGGAGACTCGGGGTCGCTTATCACAAAAATTAGGAACATCTTGTAGATCTAATCGATATCTTCTTTAACTTCCAGAACCATAGCGAACTATCTTCTATGGCGATTCGTCAAGCACAGAGTGAACAACTTGGACGATCGATTTCAGGAAGCTAAGCAGAAATTTTATTACATCCTCTTTGGGAGGGAGCAAGCACCACCCAGGTGGAAGAACTGTGTAGCACAGGTGAACTCTAACATGGGTATGGCTGTCGGATCGATGTTCGTCAAGAAGTATTTCGATGAAAAAAGCAAGAACGATGTGAGAACCATTTTCTTCGCTAATTGTCCAGAAACTGACGATATTGAAATCAGTATTCTAAGAGAACATGAAGGCTAAAAGCGAGTTTATTGTGGATAAGAGCAATGTAGGTCATCGATCCGCGTTCATTATTTTATTTTTTCTTGGGAAGATACTTATTATATTCAAATTGGTTGTATATCCGATTAGAACTATCCCTACCAGATAAATTTATTGATGCAAAGGGACATTCTTCTGTGTATTCAATTTTGTTAGCTCTTGTCTCCAGTCAATTCAATTTCTTGACTAGTACAGTAATGTCTCTATAGATGCTAAAGACCACTCTATATTTTTTATCATCTAATATTCATCTTCCATGCAGACCTTGTCCATGACCAGAGAGATACAACGATCGTTCAGAGAACACCTGAGTCAAAAGACCTGGATCGACGACGAAACGAAAGAGTTGGCCATCGAGAAGGTGAACGCCATGTTGCTGAGGATCGGTTACCCCGATTTTATTTTAAAATCTGAGCTACTGAACGAGCGTTACAAGGATGTAAGACTGAACGTTGACTCTTTGTCCCTCGGTGATTAGAGAACTGCGATAAATGCGTTGTTAGGCAAACGTACCTAATCTCTGATGTTACCGTAGGTCGTGATCCGTCCAGACAAGTACTTCGAGAATACGTTGAACATATTGCAGCATCTGACCAAGGTGGAGCAGGATTGTCTCGGCAGCCCTGTTAACAAAACACTTTGGAACACTGCGCCTGCAGTGGTCAATGCTTATTACAGCCGCAGCAAGAATCAGATAAGTCAGTTTACTCTTCACTGTACAAGCTAATATACTGGAAAATAATAAAAGGGTTGGATAGTCTTTCAACTGTTAACAATTTGATATTTTCATGATTTAAATTATTTTAAATGATAATATTATTTACTCTCCAGTTACATCCGTATTTGGCCAACTGTTTCTCAGTAATAATTTTCTATGTTATTTTCTAACAAACATTTATTTTTTTCCATCGTATTTGAAGTGAAGTTAGGGGCTTTCTCAATTCCTTCAAGATTTTGTCTAACTAATAAATTGCCTTCCATCCTCAGTATTTCCAGCTGGCATACTGCAGCCACCCTTTTATCATAAATACTTTCCACGAAGTTTGAATTTCGGTGGGATCGGTGCCGTGATTGGGCACGAAATCACTCATGGTTTCGATGATAAGGGTCGGATGTTCGATAAGGATGGTAATCTACATAAATGGTGGAGAGACGAGGACATTTATGGCTTCGACGAGCGCGCCAACTGTCTTATCGGTAATGAGTTTCGAGTACCGTAGCCCGCAACGAACTTCCGTTCGCAAGTTCCAAAACTGTTTAATCTTTCAGACCAATATAGTCATTACACCGTGAGCGAAGTTGGTATGCAAATAGATGGGTTCAAAACCCAGGGAGAGAACATCGCGGACAACGGTGGTATCAAGCAAGCTTTTCGGGTGAGCATTTTTCACACAGGAAACAAATGAGGGAGTGCTTTAGCCACCAATTTGCGTGGAGTCTCCAAAATATCAAGTAAAATTCTAAGTACTCAACACTAAATAAATGTGAATATTCTGAAGACCCAACGATACGCTGGAACCTAAATTAAAGTTTACTCTGATATCTGAATTTTCACGAAATTACAAATACATTATATTCTTCGCAGTCGTTAAAACTTAAATATCGATTCAAGCAAATCAATATATCCTCGAATACCTGTTTCTTCACGCAATTTATTTGGTATAACTTGTATGATACTTTAGATTTGTTGTACGAAAGTTGAGAATGAACACAGTGCTTGAATCGATTGATACAAGTGTTTTATTTTTTAAATTGCTTGCTTTTCAAACGTTTTACTTTTTACAGGCCTATGAGAGGTGGTTGGAGTTAAACGGAAACGCCGACGAGATTTTGCCCGGTTTAAACGCGACAGGAAAGCAGCTGTTTTTCCTACACTTCGCCCAAATGTGGTGCGGCTCGATGAGACCGGAGGCGACCAGAAACAAACTGAAAACCGCTGTGCATTCCCCTGGCAAGTTCCGTGTGATCGGTACCTTGTCAAACTCGCAGGATTTCGCCGAGGTATTCAACTGCAAACTCGGGGCGCCCATGAATCCGATGAAAAAGTGTTCTCTTTGGTGACGAACCGCGCCCATGTTACTCCTCCAAAGTTTATCGATCTCGGATCGAGTGAATCCTCACGGGTGATCGGCATTACGTTGCCTCATCGACCGAAGATGGAAGTGTCAATCGTTGAAACTCATCTTTACCTTCCTGAAATATTCAAATACTCGTTTCGAAAGTGAAACTACAGCCTTTCGCTTTGTAATGATAGCTAGTGATATAGAGCAATCGCCTTGCGTTGATCTTCGATCAAAATGAAACATTACTTTTCGCTAATTAAAGAGGAACACGGAGAAACCGATGCGAGTAACCATTATCGTGCTCCAAACTGTTGTTCAACGAGTAGCGATCATGTAACGTAATCTATTAGGAAAACAAATCTCGCGCTAATAAAATATGTCGTGTAGCGATAAATAAAGTAACTTTTATCGTGCGATATCTCAGAGTAAGATAACGACTATCGTAGATGCTGAGAAACAGCTGCGCTGTTCGATCGTCGATGGAAATTGTAAGACAGAACCAAAGACAATAATAATTTCAGACAGTCATAAAAATCTTTACAATCTATTTCCCTGTATATCCACACACTACTACATATATTGAAATTCTTTCGTCGTTCTATAACTTATGCATCGTATGTCATCCGACCTCGCGAAATCGTCAGAGCCTTGTGATCGTTCGTTACGTCCAACGTACATCATACATACATTGACAGAAACGTTCGCGTTACATTCATAGAAACTCGAAAGAAAACCGTCAACATTTGACCTTGGTGTACAGTCTCGCGATTCGTCCGCGAAACGTTATACGTGAACAAGTCTCGTTTACCATTATCTTAAGCGAATGCTAAGTCGTTATTTTGCTTTCCTTTCTTTTTACAAATTCGTTCATTTCGCATATATAATAAATAGAGTAATAACGTTGTTGAACTTTAGGGGTATCTACGACACGGTGTCGTAGCTTAATGAAAAAAGAAAAAAAAGAAAGAAAAAGGTTTGAAAAAATCTCTCACAAGGATAGAAAATATAGAACGGAAACTATTGCAAATGCGATATCGATTGACTATCTTGTCGCCTTGTACTATGGTACTCTATAATGACAATAAAATACTTCAGTCGAGCAGTTCGAACACGTTCTTATTGACTTGTCGAGGTTCCGATCGGTTACTGTGAGGAAGAGACTCGTGCTCGCCCCACGATACACAATTCACAATCTTTCACATAAACTCGCACACAGAACCGGATAAGAAAACTTCCACCAATTGTACAATCCTATTTTTACAATTTATTTACGTATTGCCTTTCGTATCGAGTGGATGAGTAGTAAAAATAAAATCGTACATGTATCCCTCGTTCAATTATTTAGTATAAAGCAAAGTAAACTAACGAGACGACGCCGACGGCTGAGTCGACGGCAAGATTATGCAATTTTTAATTCTCGATTAAACAGTTTCATACGAAACTCGTTATCCCTTTCGGTGCAAAGATTCGAACGCTTAGTCGTGTTAAACACGTTCGGTGAACGATCGTAAGCATCCCTAGCAACGAAAGGTTCATTTATAATGATAAAAAGCTCGATTCTTCCGAAGCGGAAATAATACTTTTCGTGATCATACGGTATGCTTTATACTAATTAATTTACATAGTGTGAGCTGACACTTGGTTACAAGAGGCGCATTTATTTGCAGTCGTAAGTTGTACTAATAAATCAGGAATTTTTGGGATATCCATTCGTATTACTGACACGTTTTCCTCGTTTGCCTTACAATATACGCAAAACCGTTTTGATTTCACATCTCGCAGATCCGACGTTCTTGTACCCGTATTTCTTTTTATACGGTGTATACAAAAGTACAATTTCAATTCGGTGGAATACCTCGTTGTGAATATAAAAAGCTCGCGACTTATCTAAGAAGTCGATTTTTGAAAAATCAACAAATGACATGAAAAATACACGCGACGTGTGATACAAAGATTCGTCGCTGTCCTTTAAAAATAAAAACAATATCGCCGAAGTATATGTGCGTACGACACGCTGATGAATAAAACAATACATGTATCGAGTAATGAAGATTCTTTTTTTTCTTTCTCAATCTGCATGCACCCTGCGTTAAAGAAGCACGCCATCGTTTTTCGAAATTCTTCAATTTTTGCAGATCGTAGATACAGACATTCTCGTAGTGATATTGAATACCACGTGAAATTCGATGGCCTTAACCCTATTATGTATAGCCATTACAAATTATACGAGAGTTTAGATTCTTTACCTTCTATGACGTTTTATCAAAATTGGCCTATTAAATATATAAATATATGTTTCGCGTGTGCTACTTCCGTCCACCTAATTAAAGTCAAGTGGAAATGTACCTTAACATCCTGTTCAACTCCTATTACCACTGTTACGTATACGTATTGTGTTAACAAATATTGTTCACTTATGCAGAAACTGGTACTCCAAAATGTCTTCCTCATCTGGAAAAAAAAAGAAACGGTATCTTATGTTTCAATTGCGAGCGTTGCCTCAGGCTTAGCTGCACTAAAAGGACATACTATATCTAGGAGTGTCCGAGTGCAGTCTAATAAAACTGCCAAGGTAATAGGGATTTGCATGTACAGGTACAAAACTACATGTTTGCCTTGTATATAATTTATGCAGGAGCATTACAAACTATTTAAGATACATACGAATCGAGTGTTCTACTACTAAATTATGTAGACACATTCGCATTTATACAGATATGGATGCTCGTATGATGCTGTATTTATTTAAACAAGCAATTAAAGTGCAAGAATGTCGAAACAGGTTTAAAGATGCATTTCAGTGTGTTTAGACAACTTTATCTCGGAGCGTGGACAATTCTAGGACGAATGGTTTCTCTCATTGTACCTAACACAAGGGAAAACTTTTACTTGTAACAATGAAATAAGAAAGATAACGAAACGAGTTAACGATCGTTTAAATAAATAATACTCTCATAATAACTGATCTATACTGTTATTAAATATTAGATACAGATTACTCTCTAATGTTTCAAGTTAAAAGAAAGATACGGAAAGAAAGAACGAAGTGGTGAGAATCACCCATCGTAACAAAATAAAATACACTCACAGATATTGTCTCTGCTATTGTTGTCCAAATCGCTAGTCTGTGTATGAGTTTCCTCGTGCATACGCCGTTCTGCATCAACCGCCAGCGCAGCACAAGGCACAAAAATGACTCGATTACGTCTTTGACGTGGTGTAATCCACATGCGCACAACATGAGTTGCAAAGGAAATTGAGTCGTTTGTATGTTAGACAGTAAAGCAGCAGGTCCTTTTAGAGCGGCACAATAAATAGAAAATAAAATAAACCAAATTCCTAGTATGTCTGTGAATCGCAAAATTTGCATTTATTTTTCATTCTCCTTTTGCTTCCTCTCTCGGTATCTATAACAATTAAAAATCCAGTCTTTTTGCAAATACAGATTTTGTGTTTCGCAGACATACTGTACAACCTGTCTGCAACATAAAATATGTATATATTTTACAGAATAATATATATAATGGTTGGTATCATAATGATATTGTTAAATCAGTTTGCGTAACTACTTTCTTAAATATCGAATTACATAATAATTTTATCAAAACGAAAACATTCGTTGAAATTAATGCTTAAATGCCAATGCGCAATTTTCCAATGAAACCTCTTTTAATGTACATCTATACGCGTCGAGTATCTAATAAACTGGAAAAGAAAAATAGTTTTGCGATACATATAAACACCGTTATATTACTCTCTACAGGTACGATATAAAAAATTTCTATTCATTGTTACTTGAAAAAAAAAATATCGAAGAGAAAAATACAGAAAATTCAGTTTTTGCTTTGGAAAATTGCACAAAATGAAATTTTCAAACATGGCTGCATGTTACGTAAAAAGACATCGATAATATCCACTAGATTATATACTTTATAAACATTAAAGAAAGTAATGGAAATTCTTAGACGTGTCGATATAAAAACTAGTAAAATTGTTGTAAAAAAACAATTGTCAGATTTTCGTTAAAAGCATGAAATGTTTGAAACAAACATTACACCATATTCGAAGCAGTCTTATATTTTTATGACGCCAATGCATTATATGAATCGAATGCAGATATCTTCTAGCGGCATTTTATAAAAAAAAAAAGAACATTATTTAGATATAACAAGGTATGCTAAATAAAAATTTGTATAAAAACGCAACGGCAAGACGCAATTAAATGTGACGAAGTTTGTTGAAATTAAATAAGCTTATGTGAGATGCAGAAGATATTCGTATGTAGATAAGATGACATCGGTGAATGTAAACAATAATAAATGCATACACCTGGAAAGCATGTATATAAATTATATGTCGCAGTTTTTCAATACGTCTAACACTGATGAGATGGCACATTTAATATGAGCATAATTTGTTCTATTTACATATTGTCGAACCTGTGATGCAGTACCACATAACATAATTGTAAACAATTTCTTTTATCCAAATAATAACTTGAATTAGTAGGAATACAATCAAAAATGTCCTTCACGCACGGACCATGTAACTTAAACGATTCACCAATAATTGCCCAATATACAATAACGCTTTTACTGCATATTTTTCTTTGTACATATATATTTTGTTTTCGTTGGGGATTATCATTAAAAATGCGTTTGCAAAGCAATAATTAGTGAATCGTTTAACATTTTGAAACAATATCCTCTCGATTTTAAAGAAATAGCTGCCCCATTGTCGTAGACAATCCTAGAACGCAAGCAATGGAAAAATATTAATAAAAATACGTACCTTTTCTTTTTATAAAATAAGTATAATTTACATGCATTATTTATCAAATTATTGCATTGTTCATTACTTAGATTCTTCGACGTAATTTGTGTTATTTACATGACCATGCTTGTGCTCTACTTCGTGTGCGATCGTGCTTTACATCAACAATTACACCACAATGATATTTATAATAAAGCGTGCAATATAGAATATATATATATATATATATATTTATATAATGTTGAATTATCGAAGTTAAATACTGAGTTCTTCGTTCATAGTAATTGTACTAATTTCACTGTTACTGTAGGTATAGTAGAGTTCAGCACAACAATTCCATATCTCATGCGAGAAATTGCAGATGCACTTATTTCACGGCAAGGTGCATTACACGATTGTTTTTAATTCGTTTAAATGTAACGGACTTATATAAAGATTCAGTTATAGATGTGGATCTCGTTATAAAATGTTGCTCCAAGATTCGGTATACAATTCATAATAGTTACTTTTTCTCGAATTTATACAGGTCAAATAATAAAAAGGGAGAAACAATAGGTGAATCAGGATCAACTGCTACAAGAATAAAACTTTTTAAAAAGTAGTCGAAGTTTAAACGACGTTATCATTATTACGACATAAAAAATACCTGTTTTACTCTTTGTTGAATTTAAACATTACATTTTGATGCAATATTAGGATACTCATTTACATTTTATATGCAAATACTGTAAGGAATATTAAAGTATTCTCGATAAACATGAACTTTAAAAATACCATTACTGTAGAGTACATAGTACAAGATGGAATGCAAAGTTAAGACGACATGTATAAACAAACTATTAAAACTTCATGTACGAATTACATAAACCTGCAAAGTAAATCGCATAGGGCAGCGAATAAATACTTTGAAATATCACATACAAATAATAGAAAACATGCACTAACCAGAACGTAACTTTTGTTCGATGTTAATGTTATTGGAAGGGAAATAATGAAAGTAGTATTAAGAATAGTATAAAGGCTGTGTCTAACGTTTAAAAAAACTTGCAAAATCTTATTTTTCATTAAACCGACGAATAAAATGTTTCAAAGTATTCATTCAAAACGTTCAATTATATATCTTTCTTCAAATGTAAAACTCATCTATTTACAACACCGGCATCTACATAACATCAACAAAGAATTCACAAGGATTTCCCATCGCAATGCGAAATGACTGTCTACTACCAGATAAGTCTTGTTGGTTCTGTTGATTCCCTGAACCAGTTCCTGTCTGCACAGACTGTTCAGAACCACTGGAACGACTGCGACTACCATTAGACCTCTTTCCATTCGAACCATTTCCATTACCAGAATTCTTACTCTGCATAGTTGGCACTGATGGAATATGCAATTCGGTTTCAGACGCCGAAGAACAGGACTTTAAATCATGGATAGGTTCTTTGCAAATGTGCTCGCTACCTGCGCTACTACCTCCTGTTAAAATATATTACGTTCAAATATATGCCGAAATTGTATATTATTAGTAACCCTATGCGGACGAGTGTCAGGGTAATCCCAACTTCTCGGCACACCCATCGCCGCAAATAAATAAAAGTTGATTGCCTCGATATGTTTGCAACAATGTATTAAATAGAAATAACACGCACGGAAAACGCCCGTCTGCAAAGGGTTGATTGTAATATATCTATAGCCCTCACCTGAACCACTATGAACACTTTCTTCTCGGTGATAACCATACACGGTTGGTTCGTTAGTGAAATTAAATGGCATTGGACTGTATCCAGTTGCAGAATGAGGAGCATATGTTCCTGAATAAGGCATGTCCCAGGCATTTGGTGGAGGTAACGGCCCAACTGTATCGCAGTCTAGTTTCATGCTACTCATGGCTGAACACAAGTCACCAAATATATAATAGCATTGTTCAGAAAATGTTATTTTATTAACTGTGTGCCTAATGAAACCAGCTTTCAGCATGAGGGATGCATATTTTCTTGCATCGCGACGGTCGATAAATCCTTCTACATGAGTATTAAGCCAATCTACCACATCTGCACCGATAAATGCATTTGGTATTGTTATTTTAAGCCACATACGATCACGAATCTCCAAGCCTGAGTCAGGCCGAGCCATTGCTCGTACTATTGTTGGCATATCGGTATTCACTGTAAGGTGAAGTTCCTCTAATGGTCCTAATAAAAATGCATTATTTATTCGTTATTGTCTTTGATCAAGATTTTTGTTGAGCTTTTAACTTTGTAATTTTTAATACAGAGAAATAATTACTTTCTGTATCTGGTAATGTGCTCGCAAGGCTACTCGACGTTGATGTTAAAGTTGTAGCGCTCGGTGGACGCGGAGGAAAACCTTCACCCCTTATAGCGGCTGTATGCGCCACCCATGCACCAGGATCTATAGGTCTTACAGGTTCTGTACGTGGTATTGTGAAATAACCTTTTGGATTAGGATCCCAGCATTTTGCAACTACTAATTTGATTGGTCTGAAAGATGTATATTTACCCATGACACAATGCCGTATTCTCTACTAAATGTATTCAAATTTTTACATATCGCTATTGCTTAACATACCCTGGTTTCTGAACAACTTCCCTCAACACCCTAACTGCTTCATCATTAGACATATTTTCAAAGTTAATATCGTTTACTTGAAGAATCATGTCGCCAGGTTCTATTCGACCATCTAAAGCAACTGCTCCCCTGTTAATATTAAAATTTGCATAATAAAATCATTACTCAGTTTGCTCTGTACTAATGATTTATTATACAAAATTCTTTGTACAGTGCAATTATCATTGGATTCAAACATAACACGTACCCTTTCATTATTGAACCAACATAGATTCCTCCATCTCCACCCTTGTTACTTTGACCAACAATACTAATTCCAAGGAAGTTAACAGTATCCATATTTAACGAAACTGTTATAATATTTAAGGACATTGTACTGTCTGTGATACTGCTAAAGGATGACGTTCTAGACATAGGTGGTAATCTGTGACGCCGTCTTCTCTGCGGTCTACGTCGATCTGATACGTAAATACAAATGTTCATTTTTCTACTTACGCATCCGACTTCGTGATAACAAATATTTTTTGGCCGCACATATTTAAATTACGAGATAACGATTTACCTAAGGTAGCTCTGTCAACTGTACTACTCATATTGGTATGTCTGCCTGTTGTCGACGTTATACGGCTACTTGCATCGTCATCCGACTCTAAAAATGTTGTTGTTTCTAAATCTGAACTTAAAATAGAAGCAGTCTCATAACCGTGGCCCGATCTGTGCTTTGAATGACCATTTATACGAAGCCCTGAGTCAGTAAACAAATGAAAATAGTGTTTAGATAGTAAAAATTTAGTACTACTACTATTTCTGATGGAAAAATTATAAGAAAAAATGTAAAAAATAATGATATAACATGAAACAACTAGAGACAGGTTGATAGAATCGACAACGTACCATTATACTTATTATATTTTTCATATTTGTCTGTATGATGTCTTGAACTTTTATGCAAATGATGCCCTTGTCGACTACTTATAATACTTTCAGTTTCTGTTAAAGTGTCATCATGTGAAAGTGGTGGTGGACCACGAGTTGTATGACCAGGTGTTACATGATCTACACGATCATGCTTCACCTCGCTGTGTGCCACAGAATCTGTGCACTGTGATGCACCATCTGATACGTTACTGCCTTCAGCTGACACCAACTATTGGTACATAAATTTATTTTCCTATTGAATACTTTATTATTTCTTCTAATTCTAATTTATATTTCCTAACTTTCATGTATTTAATGAACCTCTTTTATTCATTCATAGTTATACCATAAACTACAAAATCATATAATTTCTTGAACAAATTATATTTTAATTTACCTACTTATATGGCATACTAAATTGATTACTATATACATGCTTTGAGATTAAACTTTTGTTTTCTAGATTTTGCGGTACATACATAATCATGGAACTCATATTAACCATCTTAATTATTTATAACTCTTGCAATCAATATCACTGAAGTTTGTACTTTACTCCATCGCTATTTTTGTTCTGTATTATATTAGTGCTTGATATATCGCTATAAGTCGCTATAAAGTCAACATGAAAAGTCTATTAATATTTAGCAATGAATTTAACAATCTTACCCAAGAGACAACACGTCCATTGAAACAGGGAAGATGGGCATCATCATCTACAATTTCTTCTTTCACCACGCTGTCAAGAAAGTACAACAATTTTAGTATAGTAATTGTTTAAGGGAAAAAAAGTAAACATTGTTATTAATGCACTTGTAAGCATGAAGAAACTAAAGGACATGTATTCTATAATACCATGACTTTTAATACAAATTCAACAAAATTTATGCATGGAAATATTGAATGAAAGATGTTAAAATATTTTATTTTCATTTATAGTTTTAATGTAAAAAATCAATTAATGTATTTGTATTAATTAGTTTGTTTTTTAATGAAATTGAGTATTACTGTTACTGTGGTCTACATCATATTATAATAAAAAGTTTATACAGTAATTAGATAGGTATATTTGATCCAATTATATTTAAATACATTGTTAGGAAACTTTTTATTTTTGGTAATGTATTTTTGCTGTTACTTTATCGAAGTAAAATGTTAAACAGTAAGCTTTCAATCCATTGGAAATGATATTTTACTATGTCCAATAGTAGAAAAGGTTGTGCACCACTGTTCTCGAATATTATGACAACTTTTTTTGTGTAATCAGATTCGCGGAACAAGATAATAGATTTTAGAATGAAACAAGATCTTAATAAAGGGGTGTTAAATGTTTTATTTCCGAAGTTTACAAATTCTATCCGTAGCATTATCCTATTCGCTCTGAATTCGGCGTCCGCTACAGAATTTCGAATACTTTTATTTCTAATAGTATCCGTCCATGGACGCACCGTATCTCAGCGTAAAAAAGTGCGATACAACGATCGTATTAGCATTTAAAGCTCCCGATAGATGGATGCAAATCGACTGACAGAAATACACGCAGCGAAGGGATAATTGTCAAAATGTGACTCTATCGCGAAAGCGGATACTGTTTTAAATCGCAGGGCATTGACTTACATCCGAAGATGAGAGATAAAGTCTCGCTACGGTTTCGAACGACGTATCGTATTCTCGTGAAATGTAAGAAAACACAACATAGGAGGGACATGCGTATCGGTGTGACACTCACCCAAAATCATCGTCCATTGATTTGAAGAAATACTTATAATTCGGCCGATTCAAGACATTCTTGAAGTCGGCGAGAGTGACCCTTTCCGGTGATATGGTGAGCTTCACCAGGTAAGGGGTTTCCTCGTCGTCGATGTGATAAATGATCTTAGTCTCTTCCATCGTCCGAAACTCTAGTTATTCTACGTACATTTGCGATTAAAAAAAAAAACTGAATCACCCAAAGCCCACTAACTATGAACAATTCTCTTGAACCAATATGGCGCGTCACAGTTCGAGCCAAAGCCCTCGCGCGTACGAGGATTGTTCGTTCATGAAGCCCGTGGAGCTTACGTAAATTCTGTCGCGTGTAACATTATCACGACCACGTGCATTAAGTTACGATTAAGCCGTTGACATTATTCACGACATTCGCGCGGCGCGTACCCGTTGCTCCCGACGAGCTGAATTAAACGTCAACATTCTCGTCGACATTACAAACACTCGCGACGTCGGCCCGACACAGCGACACTCGACGGTACGCTCGCGAATGGGAAACGAACGACGATAGAAGGATGATCTCGTTTAGGATTTTCACACCCTTCTGAAAGTGCACTGCGTACCTCGCCAGGTGGCACTGAAGCAACAGCGTCGACAAGGGGTTCCGATTCAAAGTCCCAGCGAGTGAAATTCTATTGGATATAAAAGATAAATTCTGGATTAATTTCAAAGAAAAGATGATAGAAATTGGAATAAATAAAGGCTCTCAATTTTTTAGGAATTTATGACCGGATCTAAATAGGAAAAAATATAAACCTTGGTTTCATAAATACAAGGAAAATCTTGACAGAGAAACTATACAAATTATTTCAAGAATTCGCGCCAACCACTATAACCTTAAAGCTTCACTTGCCAGAAAATTTATAACAGGTAATCCTATTGAGCTCTATCCTAACTGGAGTGTAAACTGCGAGAGAGAAGCCGGTTCGAGAGAGATGCAAGATGAGTGGTTCCGGTGGTACTATCCTATAGCAAATTTATTTGTAGAGGGGGAAGAAACGTACGCCGTAACATAACCTACCCGAGCATCGCTGAGCATTGTCGAGGAGTTACTTTCAGATTCTTTTCCGCATAAAATTCGATAAATACAATATAAATTTAGCTCTATACCAAATTGTATATATTTGTTTGTATGGTATGTAAATTATGTATACTATTTCATTATTATGTCATTAATATTAATGTTTCTATCGTTTTATATATAAATAAAAAGGAAATAAAGTTCAAATCTGTACATAATTAATCTGTAAATAATTCCTAGAGTGCCGCGAAATTCAAACAAAAAGGAGTCTCGTCTCCCTTCACACATAAATTTGCTATAGGATAGTACCACCGGAAACACTCATCTTGCATCTCTCTCGAACCGGCTTCTCTCTCGCAGTTCACACTCCAGTTAGGATAGAGCTTAATGGGTAATCTCACTAATCTCCACTGTGACTGTGGTCAAGGAGAAGAGGACATAGACCATGTTCTCTTTAAGCGCGTCTTATATAATTCAGAAAGATCTTTCATAAGAGAGAAATTACAAAAGGAAATAGAAAAAGAAGGGGAAACAACATACAGTTTACTACGTCCCAACAAGATGAAAGTGTACAAAACAATTAGGATATTCCTGAACAGAATAAACAGAAACTTACAAGTAGAAACCAATAGAGATCAAGCCGTAAAAAAGGATGTATCACGAGGGTAGATACTACCATAAACCAGAAAAAAGAGGTATACCACGTAATGGTGCCAATAAACATTCAATGCCAAAGAAAATAATATGCCTTACTAACCGCAACAAGAAAACACCACCAAAGTTTTTATCAGATGGTACCAGGCTCGTGATGAAGTAAACCTTTGTTGGTTTTTGTGCCTAATATGTAAATAAGCGGTCAACAGCTTAGACTCTAAGCCTTAAAGCGTAGAAGAGGTCTAAAGTCATTAGTGATAATGACACCAAAATCATACCAGAGGACGGAGAAAAAAAAAGCACTCACTGTGATGGATTTAAAGATATTTTACAGATCTTTATATCACGTAGAATTTAAAGAAACAAGCATCAGTATTATGATTATAAGCAATGACGCTTGAAAAGGAATAATTTTAAGATCCAAAGATATATTTTTTATACATAGACTTTTACTAATGCAGAAAAAGAACTTTACCTAAGAGAAAGAGATGCCAAAGAAGATAGGAAGTGCAATTTCTAGTTATCTCATATGTGTAATCCCACAAGGTAACCAAAATACTGCTAAGATAAAATCTGTGATAACTAAATAAGCACAATTACAAGTACAATGAAAACGATTTAAAGACTCTAAATAAAACAAAATGAGGGAGGTCTCAACTAACTTCAAAAAGGAAACAGGAAAAAAAATAGATATAAGTAGATTTATATATATATAATAATTTTAAATATAAGTATATAGCTCCAAAATATTTTTTGATTATCTGTTTAAGCCAGACTAGAATATAATTAGGTCTAGATAACTAAGTAGAATAAGAAGATAATGTACAATTAATTTTAAGAAAAAATGTTAACGATTGTAACACATTGTACAGAAAGAGGAGTGCTATACGGCCTTATCAGGCCATGCACTGTGGAATAAACAAACAAACAAAAACAAACAAGGGGTTCCGAAATTTATTGAGTATCGTGTTTGCTATTTGAAATTTCGAATTCGAAGAACGATGCTAAGGGCAGCATTATACATCAAGAAATGATATATATTATTGGCAGTGAGAGCGAAGGACGAATTGCGAGGAAAAATGAACTTTTAAATAAACGTCAGCCATTTTACCTTGGTCTACTGATAATGCCATCCGTTTAATACGCGGTAAAGTTGAAACACATCTTTTGCGAGCGATGAGTTATTATAGAAAATGATAATCTTAAAATAGAAATTCTATTATAGAGGGGCAACGAAAATTACTCCTACATTTGGTTTTAATTAAAGTATTTCATCATTTGCGTGAATTTGCTGTATATATTTTGCAATATAAAATTTCGATTAAGAATCACGCAATAAATCCTACAGTGCACGTTTCGACTGTACGTGAACATTCGAAATGTGTATTCGTAATCGATTATGACAACCGGTGTAAGAATACGGAGCTTTGATATAGCTGACGTTTCTTTAGAAAGTTCTTTGTATCAATAATTTATATTTTATGACTTTCCGATTTCGTCTGTCAAACCCCATAATATGAAACCCCATGAATTCAAGACCGTCTTCTGGTGTATACTACTATAATGTCAGACAGAATATGTTGTTTTTACCAGTTCTACTTTTGTACCTTTGCCATAAGATTGCAAACACATAAAGAAACATATTGTTTAAAGTAAAATAAAAACATGACAATAGTTGGGTTATAGCAACAAATGTAAGGTTATATGAATATTTCTTTAGAGATAAAGGTATAAAGCAATTACCTCAAACTTTCATTTGATCAATGCGTACTTTTAAAGAAAGCAAGTCTCGAATAACTTTACTTAGAATTTTTGTTAGGACAATATCAACATTTGGTATAGCGTCAACATTTGAATTTTTCATCAAAGACGCAAAGTGGCTTTAACACAGTAAATGCTTGCTACATGTGCTAACGTTCCATTTTCGTGTAACAGATATCTGATATCTGTGATATCTTTAATTAATTATTCTTTATTTTTCATAAATCTTTGTTTTATAACACTACAATCTATAAGTTCAGTCTGACTTGGCCCCCTTGCATGAGACCCGAACGCTATATTACTTGAAATATGTCATTGCTAACTGCACATCGCCAGTAAAGCCAGATGGCATTATCAATTGCATACTAATTAATATTTTTTAATTAATAATTTTGAATTTGAAATTTTAATTTTGTTTAGAAGCATCCGCAAGAGGTGCCCTGATATAGTTGCACCAGTTTCTACCATGTAAAGTCGGTCCTGGTTTTGCATAATTTAAAGCTCCTGGAGTCTACATTTGTCCACAATTTTGGTCGACGAAGACCAGAGTGGAGCAAAGTCAGATTGACGTTGTTCAATGATTGTTGTATAGTTTCATGATTTGTGTGTGCGCTTGATCTCAAAGAAAAGATTCGATATCGGTCTTTGTAGAATATTCGTTAGAAATCGCCCGTACGGATATACGACAATCTATGTTCATCGTAGCATAGTAAAGAAACGAAAACAAACAATCGTGTGGGACACGGTTGAATCTTTCTCGAAGAATCTCCAAAGATTGTAAAGCGTGCTGCGAACGATATATCGCTGCAAGCAACGTTTCAGATTTTCGTCGGTTGCATTTGTATCTCGATCATTTAAACGCGTTTTTATTTTTTTTTTTTTTATTAAACTGACCGATAGAGGTTAGCGTCTGGCATAAGGTTCAAGGATTCGAATCGTACGACCTAAAAGTGTTTCGAGACTTGTTTATTACGCGTCTCATCTTTTTGTTCGCGACTTGTGCCAAAACTGACTGTTTCGTAACAGACGAATGCGTTTTTGAAATTCTTCGGGGAACTGCCTCAACGCATATTCGAAGCTGAAGTACGTTCTTTCGACTTCTTCGTGGTTCCAAATGACAGTAGGCAACTCATTATTTACCAATTTCACTTGTTGATTTAGAGATAAAAATAAAGTAGGATTTTAATTAAATTTCTTCCTTGTAGTATTTATGTAAATAAATATTTCAAAGTAAAGAACTAAATTGAAATAAAGCATAATATTATTTCATTAAAATTGTTCAGAACATGTTATTGTGTCTGATATTGTTGATTGATTGCTGTTTCTGAATATGGTAGCATTATCCATGGAACATAAAATGCATTCTCCTCCGGTTCAGAACACAATGGGTGGAGTGAATCTTCATACACCTCCGTCGATATTTCAACACATGATGGGACAGCAGAATGTTCCTCAACAGTCTCCATTGTGGATGCAAATGCCACAAGTGCCTCCAATGTCGATGCCATGGAGTGTATCTTCTCTACACCAACAAGAATTAGTCAGATTTACAGGTGAACCCAGCTTCAAACCCATCATCCATCAGAAAAGAAAACTTGAAACTCCTGATCTGCTAGATATGTAAGTAATTTAAATGTATCCAATAAAATAACTCGGAAAGAATCTTTAACTTGGCATTTCATAATGGTGCAATATAATCTATGAATAAATTGTTATAATATTCTAGGAGACAAACAAAACAGTTTATAACAGAAGAAAAGATGACTGCACATTTTAAAGATTTGCACATTAGTTCTCAATATCAACCACAATCTCCAGGGCCATCAACATCAACAGCTGACATGCAAACAGTTCCTTCTAGACAGATCACTGTGGACCTAGAAATGGATACAGCCCATACTGTTGACACGGAGCAGGTAAAATCTGGACACTGCAGATTGATTCTTTCAGAAGAACTCAAAAGAGTGCAACCAGAACCAATGATTCCACCTTCGTTGTTGTCTAAATTGTAAGTGAACAAATTTATGTCCATAAGTATAATGTATATTTTTCATTTTAATATACCTGCTGGTAGAAATAGCCGTTTAATGTGAGAAAAGGGATGAGTATCTTCTTTTCCATCATTAAAGCTTCTTAGAGATCATAATAAAACTTTCAAAGAATTTATAATTTTTTTATTTATTTATAGGACAGTATTTAATATATTACTGAATATGAGTTGCCTTTTCAATATATCTTTGAGAGATAAAAACTGTTCTTATCAATACTCATCCTTTACTTCATCTGTAAACAAATTTTTTTACCGATGAAGATAAAGCTTTATAGCTTTTCCCTTTCAGGGAGAGGCCCTCCATGGCTCTAGTCCTTTGGGAGCCTCCGAGCAAACACCTTCGTATTCTTCCAACACGAGATTCGCCGGCTGGAGTTTCCAATGCGGCTGACGATAATAATAATAATAACAATAATAATAACGACGGAATTCCAGATTTAAATCAAACATTACCAAGCAATGCACCAGTTTACGAACCAATGGAATTATGAAAGTAATTCATTAGCAAGTCACTTCTCATTTTTGTATATTGTTAGATCAAGGGGGAAATTATATCGTGTTTTAACATAAGTGTAGATTTTGAAGAAGACAAACAAAAATATATGTCATCCCTTGTATTTTTAATTCAACACTGTCGTGCTTGTGTAATATTGTAAATTAGCGAAGGTATGAAAATTTTTTTACTAATAGAAAGTACTCTACATCGATTAATTAATGATTCGATGGGAATTCGTTACTGCGTCTTGTGTTTGAAGTTGGAATGAATATGCGTTTCTTGAAATGAGTGGTTACTTTAATGGATATAAGTGTAAAAATGCAAAAAAAAAAAGGATACGTTAAACAAGTTCCTTTCATGTAATAATTATGATTTACGTGTGTAAATTGATTGAAAGAAAAGAATGTTCTTTGGTAAATATGTTGGACGAATTACATATTGAATTCAGTATTATTGTAATTAACACATCGATAAGCGAATATCGATGCTAATCTTGCGTTTAATTCTTCTTTTCTTCGATCTGTATAGAGGTTGTTCTTCCTTTTTATTCAATTACAATTGAAATTTTATCATAAAAATGTAAAAACTAGAATGGACAAGGAAACAAAAGAACGATTTGTACCGAGGTAGTTTTATTTCTACACTGTATGTATACAATGTAATATTAAGTCCAATATATGAAGTACAATTCGAATTGCAGTATGATCGAATGTTCTACTGATTGTCATGAGTGATTGATGCATACTCTATGTGTAACGATTTTGCATAAAAACATGACATCGTTTCATTAACATTGAGTTTTTCATTTATTCATGTACGATGAAAATTACATAAAAATGATGGGCTTTGCTGAAACCAATATATCCTTAGGGTTTAATTTCTCACGAAGTCGAAGTTACGCCAGTACTTGAAGTATGCACTTCCAATTCAGTGGACACGACACTCAGATTATCCTTAAACACTTTCTCATCTTCCAAAGGTTCGCCATTGATAGTTGCTGCGACTTTTCCACTGTCCAGCATCGAGATATGGTTACCCTCGATTACGTGTACAGTTACTCTTCCATGAGTCAACTGAAAAATAATTTTCATTATCAATAATGAACCGTCTGTTCACTGCGAACACTTAACATGGCATCGAAGTATTAGGTCGTCCCATAAGTTCGTGCTGAAGACTGTGTCGAAATTTAATAAAAAAACCACAGAAATTTTCTAGCAACGGTATAATGACTATGTGAGAAAGGTGAGAAACTATTGTGAAATGAGACAGATAATCTTTTCTTGTGACACTTAAGAGTATTTTTCACATATTAATTTGAGAAATAGAAGTATAAATGGCAGGAATTTTTAGGACGACCTAATAGATTCCCTTAGAAAAAGATAATAACGATTACGTTACCTTAGATAATCCGTAAGTTGGATCATCTATTTCTACGGCTGGTATCGTTGGCTTTAATAACGTGATAGGCGTCCTTAGAAGTTCCTTAGAGCTGCAATCGTAGTCGTCCATAACGCACAGACGCTGGTACATGAACGTACAAATTCCTTTTTGAGCCTCGATAGAGTAGATTGCCTGAAGGTCAGGAGGCGTATGGCGGACTAGTTTGTCTAATTTCTCCTCCCAATTTTTGCACTCGGTTAACTCCTGCTTGTACTGTAATAAGCGAATAAATTAGTTAAGAAATTCTATTCCAATAAAATGTTATCGAAGGATCATTGTTTTTAAATAATAGCCTACCACTGGCATGGCATCGACCGCCTTGGTAGCTTGCATTATGCCGAGGAGAAGGTTGTTTTCGAAGTTGTCAACCGTAGACGAACTAAGATGTTTCGCCTTCAATGCTTTCATGTAGTCTGGCGATCCGTCTATCAGTATAAGGTGACCAACGAGAGAATAAGCTTCCAATCTCCTTACCAGCTCAATAGCTATCAACGAACCGTAAGAGTATCCCACGACAACGAAGTCTCTTCGTCCATGATTCTTTGCTAAAACGTGCTGAAGGAGAACGGATAGATGTATTCCTTGGGTTCGGTCAAAAGTGAAAAAGAAGTCTTATTTGTTTTTATAGATTTACCAGTATATATTACAGTTACTAACCGGTACAAGTCGATCCGCCATTTCTTCTATAGATAGTCCCGTATCGAATATTCCCAACTGTAAACAGATGGTAGGGACTTTCAGTTTCGGTATTATCGGAGCAAAGACCACGGGAGATCCTTCGATACCAGGTACAACGAACACTCGGTTCTTCCTTTCGCCAGATCTGACGGGAAGCTCCACGGCATAATTGGCGTTCATTATCGATACGTTCAATGTTCGTATCAACAGCTGTATTCCTGTCAAGTTTTCAACCTTGACAGTGGATTTCGTAGTCTGTTTCGTTGTCTTTTTAGTGTCTTTCGCGGACATCTCCATGAGCTTAGCTATATTCAAGACTCGGATGTCCTGGGGAGTTAGGAACACTTCGTAGTCTCGCTCCAGAGTTTGTTTTATTTCCACAGCCATCATGGAGTCCATTCCGAGATCTGCCAAGGATGAGTTCGGGCTGATGCCTTTGAGGTCCTTTATACCTGTGTTAGAAAAAGGATTGCGTCAAGTATGGGACATCTGAAAGTGTGTGGAGCCGTAATTTTGATAGATGGTACTCACACATGATGTTCATTACAGCCTCGAGAACGTTACTGGCTTCGCTGGCGCTAGGACGTTTCTCTGCCACGACCATACTGGCCACGATCGGTCGGCTTTGCGACAGGAATTTGTCTAGCTCTTCCAGACACGACGATATCCTCTGTTGCAGAGTTCCACCGACCACGAGCTGTTGCTTGTTCTCCAGCATCGCTGCGGCGAGACCAACTTCGCCAACGGCTCCCCATTGTATCGCCATACCTGGCAGGCCCTCCTCCACTCTCTTTTCGCAAATCCTTTCCAGCACCGCGTTGCCCATACCGTAATTAGTCTGTCCAGGGCTTCCTCTGCCACACGAGAGAGAGGAGAAGACCACGAAGTGGCGGAGAGACGGGCAGATCTTCCTCGAAAGGATGTCCAATTGCTTGGTGATTCCTGCTTTAGGTTTCATGCTTTCCACGTAGGTCTCCTCGGTTTGGTTCACGAATAGACAGTCCTTCAGCAACGCCGCGAGGTTGAAGATACCTTCCACTGGCGCCTGCTTCTCCGCAGACTTCAGGATGAACTCGCAACCCTCGGGCGTTGCAGCGTCTACGCCAGAAATGACCTGCACGTTCACGCCATAAGATTTCCATGTCTCTATCCTCATTCGCTGGTAGCCGTCCTTCACACCGCCGCGCGAGACCATCACCAGGTTCTTGGCACCTCGAATCACCAACCAGTCGGATACCTCCAAACCCAATCCACCCAAGCCTCCGATCATCACGTAGGTCTTATTCGGCACAGCGTTGAACCGTGGATAGGCGACTATCGGCGTGTCGATGGTCTCATTTTCGTCACCTACTTTGATAAGGATCTGTGGACAATCGTTTCTCGTTATTAATATGTTTCTACTTTAACCTACTTTTCTCAAGAAAGAACGTGAACGTATCAATTTGAACACACACTCGAATTGTATAAAACGACATTCGTTCTTCCTTGACAAAAGTATGACTTTTGTCTCAATGATTTATAATTTTGATAGTGTTCAAGGTGAGTCTACAAGTCTCTGAAACGTACAACATTTTTCTAACGTGTCTACGTTGATGAATTAATTCTTTTCTTTTTCTTACAGATTTTTGAATTTGTTTACCTTTCCTATATGCTTGCCAGCTGCCATGTGCCTGAATGCAGTCTCCACCTCATCCTTTCCGAAACATTTCCTGACCAAAGGCTTAAGGGGAACCATCTTCATACGTGAAGTGAGGAAGTTGTATATCTCCATCTGTACAGCGGGCACAGCGCCGCTAATTACAGCGTCCAATATTATTCCATGGAAGCTAATCTCCTTCAAAAAGACTTCCAATCCCAATTTATTGTTCATGCTCATATCGAATTTACCGATCTCTAGGAAGCGACCGCGATAACCCAAGCAACGAACCGACGCCTGGAGCTTATCCTCCGCCAGCGAATTCAGGACTATATCGACACCTTTGCCGTTCGTTTCTTTCATCACCATCTGCTCGAAGCTCGTGTCTCGTGAGTTGCCGATGTGATCATCGTCGATGCTGGGGAACGTTTCTCTAATGAATTGCCTTTTTTCAGGTGTTCCAACGGTGGTGAAGACTTCGCAACCCTCGAAGAGAGCGATGTTGATCGCAGCCTGGCCAACGGCACCGCTGCCAGCGTGGATCAGTACTTTCTCGCCCTTCTTTAGTCGTCCAAAGTAGTAGAAGGCGTAGATGGCCGTGAAGTACGCACTAGGGACCGTTGCTGCGTCCTCTAAAGTCCAATCGTCCGGTACAGGCCATACAGAGTATTTGTAGGGGACGACGAGGTTCGATATAGCCCTGGTAAAGCAGTTAACTAACTTAGCAAACGAGAAAAAATACGAAACGTTGAAATTAAACCTTTGTACTCGGAGTCATTTCGTTACAAAATGTGCAAACAGTGTAATGACATTTGAGCTTATACGAATTGAGGAACATATTTATGTCAAAAATCAAAATTTCATACTATTCTAATGTGTGATAATGTGTGAAACAGTTATAGATATGGATCGATAGTTTCTATCTTTTAAGTTGTCATACAAAATATGTTCCCACATCATACTTTCTAATACAAATGCTCTTTGCCGTTTTTTAAATGTGTAGCACAAGCTCATATTTGTTCTATACAGTCAATCCCATAAGTAGTCGTACCTTTGATATCTATTAAAGACATTTGCCTAAATTGATTGATCGGTTTGATGTTTCCGAATAAATTTTGTATTACAAACATATACATGTGTAAAGTTTATGTATATATGTACATATTTATAATGAATCATTTATTTGAAAACATGAAACCTGTCATTTAATTTAGACACATTTCTTCAATAGATATTGAGGGTACGAATAGAAACCTTTAAGGTATCGTACACTTTTACAAATTTTACCCTCCCATATGTTTATCCTGTGTAATCGCTAAGAGATATCCGAGTGCAATGGGTTAAATATTGTAGTGTTTCCTTACTTGCTTTGGATGAATCCCATCACACGCCGACCATTTTTGTCTACCCCACTGAACTCGAATCCGATGAGACAGTCCTTCTGTTCTCGGTCTTTCGTTATAGCCTCTGGCATCAGCTTACCAGTGGCC